CCACCGACAGTTCGTCCCTAGGACAGCGTTACAGGAGGTCTACCCTTATGTGGTAGTAACAGTAGTTCTGAACTGAATTTTTCATTTATTAATGTTTGTGGTTTGAAACAAAGGCTTATACTTCCTGAATTTCAGGAGCTTATTCAGTCATGTGACATTATTGTTTGTGTAGAAAGAAAAACCGACGATTTAGATGTTCTTAATATGCCAGATAACTATTCTTATTATGTCAAAAATAGACAGAAATGTGTCAGAAAATCTGGAGGAATTGTCACAATATACAAAACAGCATTAAAGTAAAAATTAACTTTTCATAAAACTGAATCAGAATATGTTCAGTGGTTAACTCTTTCAAAAATTGATTGTCATCTATTAATTGGGTGTATTTATATACCCCCTGAAAACTCCAAATTTTCTTCGCCTAATGCGTTTTCAGAAATTGAAAATGAGATGTCATTATTTTCTAAAAATAACTGTTATGTTGCCCTTATGGGAGGTTTTAATGCTAAAACACAAAAACGTGCTGATTACATTGAGCCTGATAATACTCTATCTGATGTGCTCGACATAGACACAAACAATGAGTTATACTATCAATTTATGTATGACTATGAAAACATGAGATTTTATGATATACCATTGACAAGATATAGTGAGTGTAATGCTAGAGTTAATACATATGGTATTAAGTTACTTGATCTTTGTAAACAAAACAATTTATATATAGCAAATGGACGAATTGGAAAAGATCAAAGTTCATTGGGAAAAAAACCTGTAATGATGCAACTGTGATTGATTATCTCGTCTTATCATCGTATCTTTTTAATATTGTATCTGACTTCGAAATAGTCGAATTCAATCCACTATTCTCTGATATTCATTGTAGAGTAAAATTTTCCATTTGTTGTACAAATCAAAATAAATTTGAAGAAAATACAGATTCTGTTGCTACACAGATACCTGTAAAATGGAAAAATGATAACAAACAACTTTATATATCTACTATTAAAAATGACAATGAAGGAAAATTGTCTGATATAGATAGACGTTTAAATGATTTGATGAACAAACCAAATGATGACGTAACCAGTACTGAAGTGATTTATTCACGTCGTCAGCGAATTTAGCGTTTGGTATTAAACATGTCCATACGAGTACCTATAAGCAAAATAGAAGAAATAATAACAAACCCTGGTTTACTAATGACTGTGCCAAGCGAAGAAAAGAATTTCACGAGGCAAAAAAGAAATATCACATTGTCAAAACTTCATTTAATAGGAATGCACTAAAACGATGTAGTATAAGGTATAAACAAGAATTGAATAAATGCTATAAAGCTTATCAATTTCGTGGTGAAAATGAATTAAGAGAAGCTTTTAGAGACAATCCTAAAAAATTATGGGATGCCCTTAGTAAACTCAATGGGTCCAAAAATTCGCAAAAGGCAAATATTACAATTAATGAGCTATATGAGTATTTCAAAAATCTTAGCACAACTCCAAATCAAGATGACGATTTTGATTTTAGTATTATACAAGACGATCAATCTTTATTAAGTTTTAATGAGCCTATCTCAGGGGAAGAAGTTCAGAAATCTATTCAAAATTTAAAAAATAATAAATCGAGTGGTATTGACGGTATTTTGAATGAGTATATTAAAAATACTAGCCATATTCTTTTACCTGTATATGTGAAATTGTTTAACGTAATACTAAATACCGGAATAGTTCCGGAATCCTGGACAGTTGGTGTAATTAAACCAATCTATAAAAACAAAGGTGATGACACCAATCCGGATAATTACCGAGCTATTACGCTTGTATCCTGTCTTGGAAAATTATTTACTGCAATAATTAATAAAAGATTAAATAAATATGCTGATGAAACCAACCTTATATCGAATACACAGGCAGGATTTAGAAAAGGTTACTCAACGACAGAGAATATATTTGTTCTACATGCATTAATTTCCTTATACTTCTCACAAAGAAAAAAAACTTTTTTGCACTTTCATTGATTTTAAAAAAAGCATTTGATACCATTTGGCGAGAAGGATTATGGAAGAAACTAATTGCGTCTAATGTATGTGGGAAAGTTTTAAAAGTCATTAACAATCTATACTTAAATACTAAATCCTGTGTCAAAAACGGAAGTGAGTCATCAGATTTTTTTATTTGCAATGTCGGATTGAAACAAGGTGAGAATTTATCGCCATTTTTGTTTTCATTATACTTAAATGATCTAGAACGATTTTTTATCGAAAATAATGTTAATCCTCTACATGAAATAGAAACAACATGCCTGAGACATATTGGTTTGTATCTGAAATTGTTCATTATATTGTATGCTGATGACACTGTGATGATGGCTGAGACAAAAACTAGTCTTCAAAATGCTTTAAATTGCTTTCAAAAATACTGTGAAACATGGAAACTGACTGTCAATACTCAAAAGACTAAAGTCGTCATATTTGAGAAAAGAAAAAGTAGAGGTACTTATTCATTTACTTATAATAATGAGCCCCTAATGGTTGTAAACTCTTATTCATATCTTGGTGTACTGTTTAACCATAATGGTACGTTTGTAAAGGCTAGGACCCAATTAATCGAACAGGCTAGAAAGGCATTATATGGTCTATATAAGAAAATAAGAAATATTCCATTACCTGTTGATATCCAACTTAAACTATTTGATTCACTCGTGTCACCTATTCTTTTATATGCATGTGAAATATGGGGATTCGAGAATGTAACTAGCGTTGAAAAAATACATCTACAATTTTGTAAAAGAATTCTTAAACTGAGAAGTAATACCCCAAATTATATGATATATGGGGAACTTGGTCGTTATCCACTAGAAATTGATATTAAGACTCGAATGGTGACTTTTTGGCATAGAATTATTACAGATGAGAATAAATTATCATGTATACTCTATAATTTAATGAACAAACTTCAGTCACAAGATCAAATCGGTTTCAAATGGTTGAAGTCCATAAAGTCAATACTAGATAACACTGGATACAGCAGTGTATGGAATAACCAACATATATGTACTGTTGATAGAATCTTTTTGAAGTCTAAAGTTAAACAAAGATTAATTGATCAGTTTATTCAGAAGTGGTACCATGACATATTTCTTCACGTGGAGAAACTTACTCAATCTTTAAAGGCAAATGGGAATTAGAGACTTATTTAATTAAACTAAACCCAGAAGATAGAAAAACATTGTGTAGATTTAGAACATCTAATTGTAAGTTACCAATCGAAACTGGTAGATGGACAGGTGTACCTCGCCAGGAAAGAATTTGTTTATTATGTAATTTAAATATTGGCGATGAGTATCATTACCTTTATCAATGTGAAAACGACTATATTAAAGAAATACGTCAAAAATACTTATCTAAATACTATTACCAACAACCAAGTGTTTTGAAAATGAAAGGAATGTTCACTATTTGTAATGCCCCTTTACTTCGGAAAGTAACAAAATTTATACAAAAACTAGAAAAAGAATTAATTGTATGTATCTAAAATCATATGTAAGTATGTATGGGCATGTATGTACACGGATGTATGTATTATGTATGTGTGTTTGCATGTACGTATGTATATATGTAGGTATTTGTGTATGTATGTGCGTGCGTATGTATGTATGCACGCAGCATTACATGTATGCTGGTATGTATGCACATTTCACTATGTATAATGTATCTGATTATCTGCAGACAATATGTAACAATGTGTCTGATTGTATCTGATGATTGACCTGTTACACACTTATGGTGTGTCTGGAGTGATTAATAAAACTTGGAAAAAAAATTCAAGTCGAGATTTTCCTCAGCTAATATCTCCTTGAAAATATCTTGTATGAAAATTCCTCAAGGAATTTCAGGACATCCTAGCCGATGACTTCCTCCTGTTCCTTGAGAAAATTTTATACAAGCCGTTTCTGAGGAGATATCAGCAGAGGAAAATCTCGACTTGAGGAAATCTCAAGTTGAGATGTTTTATACGAGTGGGGCCAGGTATTAAGTGTCCTCTAGTAGATCAGGTATTCAGTGCCCTCTGCTAGACAATGTGTCCCTGCTGGACCAGTTAATTCAGTCTGCAAATATCTGTTAAGAGTTATGAATTATGGTACATGTATAAATTCTCTTGTGGTATAGGCACTTTCTTTAAACAAAGATATCTACAACTTGCGAACAATTCGTCATAAGTATTTCATCGTGCAGAATATAGAATTAAATATGTCCCCAATATCAAATTGTACCTCAATAAAGAGAATGATAAAGTAATTGATAAACATATACATTGACATGTTGACAAGATAAATTCTCGGTAGGAGAGTAACAAATTAATTCTGTACAAACCTATCAAAGAAAACTGCAACAGAGAAACATACCTTAATCTGCCTGATTTTGATCAAACTGAGGTCTATTCACCAAGTTTAAATTGTGCGAACACGGCATTTAAACACTTAAGGGCGTGTTAAAGAAGCATTGACAGATTGCAAAGATTACATACAGCCTGTAAATCACTAAACGGTGAATTACATTTCCTTCTTCTCATTGCTTTATGTGGTGACATGAATATTAACTCAAAAAGGATATATATATATATATATATATATTTATAGTTGGCTTTTACACGTGAGTAGTAATCAATAACTTGCATTCAAAATGTGTTTTGGTGATGAAATCACTTCAGGGAGGGTATGAATTACAAAACGCCTACAGGATTATATTTTCAATCTAAGCGTGCTCTGTGTTACAACATCATCTTTTTAACACGAGACTCTGTGTCTCTAGTTTGCTACGTGCGGTTTGACCTTTGGATCCGCATGCATGACTGCATATTGATGTAAACAGTTCACAGTGATCCGATTGGCTGACACGTGTATACATATGTCCTGGTAACGATGATGAAATCATTGTAGCTGGCCAGTTTTCCATACGTTCGCAGTGCTGTTAATCGATCTCAGGAAATCTGAGGATGAAGATGGACACAATTCTGGACAGTCTAGATAACCATGGCAATAAGGTTATCTGGGTTTTCGGTTATGGCTCACTCATGTGGAATCCTAATTTTAATTTCCAAAGAAAACTGACAGGTCACATTAACGGATTTGTGAGGAGATTTTGGCAGGGCAACACGACACATCGCGGCACATCAGCAAAGGTAAGGAGCGAGGAGCGACTTATATCTTCCTTAGTTGCGAACAGCTGTTCTGTGTGTCCGCACAATTGTATTTTGTATGTTCAGAAACTGACCACCTATCTAATGATGCGTTGACTTATGTACGTACATTTTGTAAACGAAATATGCATTCAAATTAAAATACAATATCATATATTCAAATAAATCAATTTCGCTTTGTTATGTCATCAATAAAATGCTGAAGTTCAATTTATCAAAACGTAAACTTGTTGTAATTATGTATCATTGATTTTTCCCTAAGCCATAGTTATAATATCAATTCATCATCTTTGTGGAGAAAAAAAACCTTTAAATTCCTATTTGTGCAGTTATTATAGACTAATTACAATTTTCATTCATTCCAGCCAGGAAGAGTTGCAACATTAGCTAAACAACATCAGGTAAACACATACACCTTATGAATGTATTGACGCGTATCACTATTGCGTCAGATCTCCACGCATGTGCTCGTTTGTCTAATAATAGAACGTAAACAAAGCACTGGCCTACTTCTGGCTGCCAATTCTGCGCAGCACAATTTGTAACATCTCGGGACTTTTCCTTCAATACGATGGAAAAGTTTTTCTTCTGTTAGCGTTAATGCGCCTTTCATAAATGACACTGTTTCAAATGATATTCTGAGGAATGTGTGTACATCTCTCGTCCACATATCAAATGAAAAAGAAACTCGTGTACGGTGCATTAAGTTCTGTGTATTTAAACCGAAAACTTTTCAAATTCAACATTCTGTCCGTTATTGAAATTAATTTTAACTAAGTACTTATCGACGAATTTAGATCTTAGATCTATGTAGTGAGGATCATCTCGGACGGGTGTCCATATACTATATAGTAACATGTATTTATAGAGAACACAATATAATATATAGTAACATGTATTTATAGGGAATACATTATACTATATAGTAACATGTATTTATAGAGAACACAATATAATATATAGTAACATGTATTCACAGAGAACACAATATAATATATAGTAACATGTATTTATAGATAACACAATATAATATATAGTAACATGTATTTATAGATAATACAATATACTATAGAGTAACATGTGTTTATAGGGAATACAAATTGATAATCCAACTAGTTAAATTATGTCTATCCTCATAGGTAGCTCGTATTTTTGAATGAATGAACGAAACAAAGAATGGATGTTTAAATACGCGTACATATAAAATTACTTTAACTGAGAAAATTGATAACGGAAGGACAACCACGGACGTATAATAATGCATTATACATCCCTAGCAGAGACAACGCATACGGGTTAAGTTTGAAAATAAATGTTTATGAAGTAGTTTTCAGTCAGAGGATATCTGTAGGCGAATAAAATAAATATTTCAATATTATACTATCGATCTTGACTATTCAAGCAAACATGACCATATTTCGGTAGGTAGATATACATGCGTGTAAGATCGACTACTTTAGCTTTAATCCTATGTCGTTTTGGAAAATACCTTTGATTTTTTATTTCTTCGTCGCTTGTTATCATTCTGTGAAAAGACCTTAGGGATAACTATAAGCAGGGGTTAAAAAAGAAAAAAAAATGCTATAAGGAAGCAAATTTTTAACTTTCTAATAATAAGCTAGATATGACCGATTGGGATGAACTTTTTTCCCTACAATTCCAACCCCGGATGACAAGCGCAAGATTTTTTGATATTTCGACAGATCGATAAATCGATAATGTAGAGCCTTGCTACTGATCAACCTTTTTCAATGTGGCTTTCCTATTGAAGAAACATATCGCTTCTTTTTTAATTATAATCATTATCTTAACAGGAAAACGAATTAATTGTTATGTATACGCAGCAGTATATTCATTACAAAAACAGGTTTGCAGACCCCCACTTTTTTTTAAATATGTCAAAACAAACTTTGTTGCCTTATGTTTGATTTAAACATATTTTATTTGTACAAAGTATACAAGCAGGATTTGGGCACAAGTTTTCTAACTTATATAAAGCCCTTTCCTATAAAATTATGTTTAAAAACGAAAGTTGTGTGCAAGTTTTGATCTCTTTTCCGATGCCGACGGCACAAGAGAAACGAAGAGGAAGACAACAAAGACACGATATGTGACGAACATTTGTACAAGTAGAGAGTTTAGAATAGTGATATATAGTCTTAACGTATGCCGTCGGTATCGGAGATGATTATTCATATTACGTAATAAATAAATATTGCACGAAATCATAAAATGGAAATAGATTATCTCTATGAATATGAACTAAAGTAATATTGTAAATATGCAATCTTGAGTTTGTTTATATATCCTTTGTACAAGTTGTGTAACGTGTGTCAAATCCCGTTGCAATTAAAATCAAATCGATTGTTACTTTGCAGGGTTGTGTATGGGGCGTGGCTTTCCAGATTGTGGGCGTGGCCCAGATTCGGGAGGGACTGGACTACTTGTACACCCGAGAGGCCGTCCTAGGGGGATACGAGGCATTCCTCACAAAATTTCATCCCCGAGGACTTGATGACTTACCTATAGACGTCATTGTTTTCACCGCATCCAGTGACAGTTACCTTTACTTAGGGCCTGCTGATACGAACGTTATGGCCCAACAAATACTTAGCACAGGTGGTAAGGCAGGTCCTAACGTTGATTACGTCACAAATATTGCTGATTACGTCAGGAAACACATTCCCGAGGATAGTGATGATCACCTATTCTCTCTAAATAGGTCGTTACAGTGTTTAATATCAAAACCTGCCAACACAATGCCAAAATCAAGAAAAGGACATGTTGAAGTGACAAAAACTGACTACCTATCGTCAATATCGAAATCTAGAACGGATTTCATCTCATCAAAGACAGAGTATTCAGTGCCAACGGAGCAGTATAAAGAAACATTGACTGTATGCCAAACCCCAAATCGGCAAAGCATCTTGGCGTAAACACAACTGAACACAATGTAAAGATAGAAAATCAGTCATAATGAACATTTAAAAAAAATCTTTTTAATGAATGTGCTTAGAATCAGTATTATCTTTTACACATGTTCGCTGTTTATATTAAACTTGGAAAATGAAATGTTGTTGCTTTATAAAATATTTCCAAAGTATTCCACAGATAAATTTCCTTCAGATTCAACAGACAAGTTTCCTTGTTTCCTCACCAAAATCGTTCTATTATTCCCCGTTTCTACTTCATGACTGTCCTGTTTGCACTAATTCAACTTTTTCCCCTACACCAAAACCGTCCCATTATTTTTTCTGCTGGTACAACTTTTCTGTTACTATTACAAAACAGACCCGTTTTACTTATTCAACATGTCTAATTTTCCACATTTCTACACCAAGATCAAGCATTGTACAGTCACATTGTATCTACACAATGATGTGAGGAACATTATAAGCTCTCCCTGACACTGACTTACAAATTCTTCACTGCTGTTCTCTAACAGGGTTTTCATCGAGGGAGTTTGACCATAATATCTCGGAAGAATTTGCTTCAAAGTTTAAATGCCAGACTAAAAGACCACTCATTATTTTTTTAAAACAACGTTAGTGCACTAGTGACTTCATTCCTGAAAGGATTTTGACCAAATGGCGTTTTCTTCTAAACGACCATAATATATCTGACGAGTTTCAGGGTTGTAGGGTTATGGTTGAAAGGTCAATCTTGTTTTCAGAAAATCTTAACCAGTGCTCCAGCAGCTTCAGTCTGTGAGGGATTGTGATAAAACTAGACATTATTATAAAAGACCATAATATCTGGGACAATTTTGAGTTTGTGCATATGGTCAAGGCTATCTTTGCTGGTACATATTAAATGTACAACAATCTAAAGCAAAAAAAAAAAAGATGGATAAGGGACCTTTCCAATAGACATGGTAAAGTGGCTCAATTGATTGTGATCATTTGATAGTTTGCATGAAATAAGAGCAAAAATCAGGAGTCTAAACCCAGGTCCTTTAATATTTTAATATGATGTAATTAATCAATGGGGACTGAATGAAATTGTATTACCACAGATCAAGATAACGGTAAAAAATTCACGTATCCTTCTAAGGTTAAATATTTTGAAATCAACAGGAAAGATGTCTGGGTCATGTCAGGGGCGACATGCACTTTTCACAAAAAAAAAAAAAAAAAAAAAAACAACAACAACAAAGAAAATACCAACAAGTCCACATAATCGTAATCCTAACTCAAATTCAACAAAATCAGGGCAAAATATAAACAAAAGGAAGATTTACATGGTCACTCCTGAAAAATTACAAGGTGTTCTGGGAGATAACGACACCTGCCATGTAAATCTTGGTCAATCCTAGTAAGTAATGTCATATTCTCAAATGACAACAAGGTATACAACAACAGAACCAACAGGCAAACGGACAAGCATAAAAACGTCCAGCTTAGCAACAAAATATTTCTCAACGAGATCAATCTGACAACTGTAAAACTTCCCAAAAATTTTCATCAACCTACATCTTTTCAGAAAAACAATTATTAGTTTCAACATCATGATGTTCCAATGAACTCATTCAACATATTGTTAAACTGATATTTTTGCACATGTTCACCACATCCTGCAGAAATTCACAGATGTTCAATCACAAGAATTACAATACACAAAACATCAGTTGATTTAGAATACAAATTTATTTGAAAGTTTATCACAAAGAAATCTAAAGCTCATCATGTTACTTCTGACACAGCACACACCATTAGACAGGGACACCAGACACTTCCCTTACAGTCTGAAAACACTGTGTAGGTGTAACACGTGTGCAACACCCCTGTATACAAAATCACATCTGTATTAACTTCATCTTTATACAAGAAGTTAAACAAATACATTTATATATAACATCCATGAGGTGGAAATGAATAAAGGCTAATTGTTCAATCTGTGACTTTCATATTTATATATATATATTTTACCATTTTAAACTTGAGATAAAGTCAATATTTGGAATATCAATCCTAGCCCAGTTTTCAAACTGGAGAATGAAACCTGCAAGTTTTTTCAATGAAATGGTTTCATTTCTATACTTGTTGAAACACACACTCAATTACTGCCTGCATAAATCTGCATTATCAAAATGAAAGCATGCAAAGGAGCATAACTCTGATGATGTGACCTTACTTCATATATTGGGGAAAGAGACCCCATATCTTCAGTATGAAAAAGTAGCTCTGCCAGGCAGATTTACTTCCGTACAAAATTCTGGAGCTGTAGTTGATAAATGGAATTTGCACCTTTAGGCGTAATATCTCTACATTTGTGAATATAATTTGAACTTTGTCCAACTTAGTAGAACAAGAATAACAAAGGTACTTCAAAGCAGAGTTGTTTGTATAAAGTTCAATCAAGAAATTTTACTCCATCTTTCAGAGTTTAGATGAATTTTTGACAACAAGCACAGTAATGTACATCACAAGAAATTAAAGAATTCTGTCAACTAGTGTATTATGTGATGGACTTTTACTTATCCTGGAAATCCTGTAATACACCCATATAGCTAAAATGGCATAAAAGTGGCATTTGAAATGGTATACTTTGCACATAATTATTTTCAAGGAGCTCCCCATATCACAAAGTTTCTTTCACACAATTTCTTTGCAACACATTTTCTTTCAATTTAGTTGGTAAATCTTTCATTTCGAAGAACAAAATGTGAAGCTCAATGCATGAAAATATAAATGGAATATTATCACAAATCAAAATCTTTCATGATTTCTGAATATTTGTACATATAATACAAAAAAAACCCCAAGCAATTAGCAATACTTTTCAGCTCTTAACTTTACACTGATGCCTTAACAAAAACAACAGTTTCCAACTACATATCATTCCCAATAAAAACATGTAAAAACTCAATATCCTGATTTCATGAACACAAGTATTGTTAAATATAAACTTATCTACATGTTTGTTTAATAGAAAGACACAAGTCTGATATCGTAATTCAAAAAAATTAGCACTGAAAACATAAGCACATTCTTAGTAATATGAAACATTTAAAAACCAATAGCTTTTATAGGTAGTCTCCTGGTAGCCAGCAAGTACTGGCTGCTCTGACAGATACAAAGTATTAACTTGTAGCATTATATTGCTAATATATAGACTCTCAATAACTTAATACTTACATGGTATAGGCAGGTAAAATAAGCACAGGTGTAAATAAAATCACTTCTGCATATTCAACATTTCATCCATGGATGACAGTATTTTAATTGTTAAAAATTGAATGGTCATTACATTGTGCAATTTTTCCTCATCCTTGTATTAATGCTTTCTGTTTATTTACTTGCAACTACATTCCCTTCTCAACTCAACAAAATAGGTTTCACCATATCACCAAGAACACAAACATTTGGTCCAAAAAAATGACTGGAAAGTGATAACACATTCTCGTACATGTCTATTTGAAGATATTTCTGGTCGGTAATATTTGTGTTGTCATTGTCATTAAACAAATTCTCTTTAAGACCAAAATTCACGTATGATGGTGATTTCTTAGCAAATATACTATACACACATACACAAAAAGAAAAAGTAATGACCGAATCGGCTATCTTCCTTTCTCTTGTCAACCGAGCACAAAAGAAGTCAAAACAGTTGACCATTACTATATCTACTTCAATATTATGCCTCCATCTCTGTTCAATATGTTCTTGCTAGAGGTAGTGTGGGACTTGGATGTTGGAACATGTTCTATTTATTCTCATTGTTTGGGTGCCAAGAACATTGTTTCCGAACAACCTAGAACAATGTCTTCAGTGTTGTTCAGACACCTCAAGAACCAAAAGTGTCAGACCCCATGCATGCTTCATCCCGGCTAACAAGAGTAATTAATATAAGATCATAAAACTTGTTCTGATATTATTGTAAAGCAAATGAAGTAGTAGAAGTAGTTATTAAGATCAAGGTACAATCTCTAATAGACCTGATGTCAATCCGTGGACTTATATCCTAACAGTTATGACAAACTGTCAGGGTAAATTCTCATTTTAGGCGAGTTCCAACAATTCAGTCGCCTCTAAGACGTCCCAAGGTTCAGCTCCATACTCAATCATGGTTTGTTATGGCTATTAACAAGTCTGTTCCCACTTCATGATTAAACTGTGGTCAGATTGTCTCCATTCCATTAACGGAAGTTTTAAAATTCCATACCACATATCAAAGTTTGAGATTTGAGCAAATACCATTGTGCAGTAAACCCTAGTAAGGTTAATATCAGCTGGGAGGTTTGGAGTGTGGTGGTACTGGCACAGGTGAACCTGACTTGGGCGAGTCTGTTGACAGGTGAGCCCCTGGGGGGCCTGCACCACGAGAGGGGGAGGGTGATGCACCTACAAATACAAAATAAGATTTATGAATATTGGGACATATCAGCCTAGCTAAGAAAATTCAGTCTTAATGATACTGTACTTATTACGATAAACATAGTCGGATACATTCCTATTGACTCTAAATAAGCCTAGACAACACAAAACAGTCCTGAGACCTGCATTTCACAATAGTTTCTTGGAAAATCATTTCCAACCCCACCAGTAAAAATGATGCTATCAAAAATGTTATTGTATGTAGCATTTATAGCTACCTAAAGATGGTGGTACTACAAAACTTCTTCATCAAAATATTTTAGTTTAAGACAGCATCAAAAACATGCAATCATTACCTGTGAAGTTATAGCCATATGCTGCATAGGCTGCAGTCATGCCTGCCTGTGCTCCAGCAATCTCGGCTGCACTCAGGGCCTTTCTCACACTGCCCCTCCCACGTGGTCGCCGACCAGTGCTTGATACAGAACCCTTTGGCCTACCTCTTTTCCCTCGCTTGGTTGATGGAGTTATATTACCTGTAAGGTCAATATTGAAGAAATTTTTACTTTTGTCTTCCTTATTGCTAACACATTGACAGTATCTGTTTCATCAAGAGTGCTAGAAGGGGATCCTAATATTTCATACCTATACATAGAAGACTACAAACCTTGGTAAGTTGAATGGGCGTCGTCCACAATGACAAGACCGTCATTGCTACTGTCATCTGCCCCATATAGACTAGACTGATGCATGACCTCACTCCCATAGGACACAACACTCTGTGGGCTGGCAGGTACAGAAGTGGAGTCCAGACTGGCCACAGATTCTGTATCACCTGCCGCTATTGTGAAATTCACCTCCTCTGCCTTTGATTTCTTCATTTCACGTTTCTGAATTAGATTCATTAACAATACATATACAGAATACCAACGAGTCCACACAAGCATATTCTCACCTATCCTTATCCTTCCCCTAAACATGTTAGTTTCTTTACATTTGCAATCTTTTCATTTTCCTTGCTTACTCTGAAATACATATATGAATACTTTAATCTTAAAACATCACAAGGGTTCCAATATTCATTCTTTTTGAACATACAATCTTGGACATAATAAATGCATCAGAATTCTTGCAGCAAAACACTTACCCGTCCATAGGATTCTCGTTTCCTCTTCTTATCTTTCTCCTTGTGTACATCTTCCTTCATTTTCTTCTCATCTTGCCTTGACAACACTGCATAAAAAACAATCCAAATGCTGTAAACCCATATATGGTAGAAGGCAGACCGATGATCATTGCTTAGCTTTTATAATTGGACAGTATTTTTGATACATTTTGGAATATTAATAACAATACAGTAAAGATCATTAAAGATCACCTGTACTGAAAAATGTGTTGTAAAACTTGAGACAGCCAATGAGGTATGAACTACAAGACGTATGACTTACATTTCGATTCCATCTCTTCATCATCAATAAGAAGAGATACAACTTCCTTGGGTTTGAGCACATCTGGACGGAAGTTGCCCCCACTGATAACCATTCTCTGGATCTGAATTAAAAAACATTCAGGACACATTACAACACAAAGTCAATCATACTTTTCTGTAAGTGATGATTCCAAGAAAATATTCTGTAATTCTAGATATTCAAACTTACCATGAGCAAGACAAAACATAGGTTATTGAGCAAGCAATTTCGATCAGAACAGAAATCATAGTGCAATGAAGAACTTCTTAAAATCCTGTGTTTACCTCACTCTTTTCCTTGGCCCGCTGCAGTATACGTTCCTCTATGGTGCCTTTACACACCAAGCGGTAGACAGTGACTTGTTTGGTCTGTCCTAGTCTGTGGGCTCGGTCCATAGCCTGCTGGTCTACAGTAGGATTCCAGTCACTGTCATAGAATATCACCTGTAATAGGAAGACAAGTTGGTGAACGAGTTTAGCAAAGTGTGTTAAGAAAGTTAAATAAAAGAAGAAAGTAACAATATACTGAACTATATTCTACAATCACCTCAGCTGCTTGTCAACTGTAGGATTTTTTTGTTCAAATTTCATTTAAATAATATTATCAACAATGAGATTCAACTTATTAACAGTAAGATTAATGTTTTAGAACAAATTTTGCGACAGCTTCAGAAGCACTCAAAACAAAACAAACACATATACTTTCACTTCATCAACATTTGGGATTTAAAAGTTTATAATGTGAAGAAAATTTGTAATGATTTCTGTGGCTTGTATTACATGTCCATGAATACTCGAACTCACAGTGTCAGCAGCAGTGAGATTGATTCCCAGACCACCAGCTCGAGTACTTAGTAAGAACACAAAGATGTCTGTTCTGTTCTGGAAGTCTGCCACCATGTCTCGTCGCTCCGAGATCTTGGATGATCCATCCAGTCTGATATAGGTGTGCTTTCGGTGCCACATATATTCCTATCAACAGTTAAACACAATATTCAGTGCCGCCAGTCAGAGACATATTTTTCATGAAGCAGTGAACATTTTGCATTATTCAAAATTTTTTTTATGAACTTTTTAATGGAAGTTCCCTTCCATAATTATCCCGAAAATTAAAACCAGATCACAATGGAAATATTTTCTAAACATGAATATATAGAATATTTAGAAAAAAAGCAACTACTGTTTGCATTAAAATATAAATCAACACAATTTCTTTTTTGTACCTCAAGCAGATCTATCATGCGGGTCATTTGTGAGTAAATGAGAACTCTGTGACCCTCTGTCTTCAGTCTCTGTAGAAGCGTGTCCAAGACAAAAAGCTTCCCAGCATCAGCAACCAGTGTTTCCTTATCTACAAATGGAACAACTAACTGCATCAACCACTTAATCAAACCAGGCTTTACATGCAATTTACATTTTTCAGATGTTTTGTTCTTAGTTTTGATAAATATAACCATTATTTGAATGTCAAGCAATTGTCAGTATTTGCACTAGAACAGATCAGCCTTAATGATTACTATTACAAATAATAGTTTCAAAGATTTCATTTAATACATCATTATGAATCTAACTACCTGGAGCATAGATGCCAAACCAGCCATGTTTCGGTCGCACAGCGTATAGTCCTGCTGGTTGGGTTAAGGTGAAATTCCAAGGGTTCCACCAACGGACTTGAGTGTAAATATCTGGTGTACCATACAGCAAACTATTGCGTGCATCTAGTGTACCACATAGACTGTCCTTCAGGAACTGCCACGCCCCACTTCTATCACATGTCTCCCACTTATGACTACTCACTTGGATCTAAACAGCCAAGTATATCAATTGGTGAAAGGACAAATTGGAAATGTATGTATAATGCTATGAATTCACAATTCAAAAGATTTTTTCTTTTCTTTTTCTTCATGAAATTGATATTACGAAATTTCCTAAGTTCATATTTTAAAACTTAAAAAAAAAAAAAAAAAGAAGAAAAAATACAAATCTACCTTTGGCATGGTGTAATAGAGACAGCTGGGGATATCTGTCGGCTGACAGGGATACACCACAGGCTCTCGGAATTGGTGGATGTGCACAGGTAGTTCCAATGCTTCCAACTGTTTATGGGCCTACAGTGGTAAATGCAAAGAAGAGTTAAGCCTTCAACCAGAATTGCAAAACAAACTACCATCTTATATACATTTCAACAGCAAACTTTGATTAATATGAAGTGTCCACCTCCTTGCCCATCAGATAAATTAATACTACTGCCAAAATTTAATTCCTGATAGATCACTGGAAAGTCCAGAGATGCTTCAATCATGTCTGTCTAACTTAAGTTTATCAATGACATAAGTCTCTATAACAGGGTATGAACAAACATGAACACTAAACATATCAATGAATACATTCCAAATATCCAATTATTTCAAAAGCATTTCCATGATATACTTACTTTAGTTGGTGAGTGAGGAGGACTTAAAGGATTTTTCTTTGCCAGATGACTAGCACGGAGATTGCGTAACCGGATTGCTTGGTGGCCCTGTGTCTCCTGCATGCAGTGGTACTCATGTGTTATGAAGGAATAGAATGGAGAAGTTGCAGTAATGAACACAAATTGGCGTAGGTATCGTGACTTGACCAGGTTAGGAAATGACAGGGGCTGATGTGGAGCCAGATAAAAACTGGTCCTGTCCAAACAGTGTCTACAATGTTAAAAACATGTGTTTGATGAGGTTGGTAAATGGTCTTGTTGGTTTTTTGTATGACTGAATCCATTCTAAAGCAATGATGTATTCAACAGCTACTTATAGATAACTATGTAATAATAACCGTCTTCAAATTTATATCCTTCAATTTTATCTTTTCCCAAGAACTTGATAAACTCACATAAAGATTGTCATCTTATATAACGTAATCATGATATTCTACATTATAGTTTTGGATCTATTAAAAGAATCACCAAATGATTAAAGCCTTTACCGTCTACACTTCTGAACTTTACTGGGCCAGGTTCCTGAGTGGTGTATCCGGTATTCCATCTTCAGCATTAGAAAAAGTGCTAACCATCTATGAGAGAAAATAATACATTCTGTAGGATTTGGACTTTTAATCCAAAAAGGAAGTAACACCCTCAACATATCAGACTTAAGAGGGATATTCAAAATATTATCCATGATGTTCCAGAACTAAGATGAATTAAAAGGCTCGATTTATTAAAAATGAAAATTTTCAATAGCTGAAAACATTCATAAACTTATATAGCCTTCACATGTGGACCAAAAACAAATCTCAAGTGCTAAAAACAATTAAAACAGGTCTGAGAATATTTGCTGTCTGTTCACATGAGCAGACACTTTTCTCTCTTTACTGTCTCCTAGAAATAGAGTTATACATTAACCTAAAGGACCACAACTAAATTCTGAAGAGGACTTAAATCCACCAAAAGGCTGAACTCTTTTGTTAATGAAGAAAATGCTGAAAAGCCCAATACCAGACACTTGATATTGTTCAATCTGACGTATCTGTGACAATCTGTGCCTCTCAAATCTATTTAAACATGTACATATCACCCTACATGTTTTACTTTTCCTGTCCAGGGACATCAGTTTTGTATCATTTATTCTTACCTAACTAAGATGCCCCCTGCCATGTAGGCATGAAGTTCCTGTGGGGACAAATCTATAAACCTTGAGAACGAGAAACAGCTATCAACACTGGACCCTGTAAATATACAAACACCAAACATCATAGCAATAGGTCCTTACAAACAAGAAACAATTGTTATCTTCCAAATCAAACCATTTCTGAAAATTATAAACTGATGTGGCTTGTTTAATCCGAGTGAAGACTACCTTGTTGTGTTAAAAGCTATGCAACAACTGTGGTGTTTTACTTCACTTGAATATTAAGGATTTAGTTATGATATCATTTAGTTCAAAAGACACGAGCAGATAACTGACCTGAAGACAGTGAACTATGGACATTGTCTGGTGAGTGTATATAAAATGTACTGTACACCAGTCTCTGTCTACAGTTGACAGCATAATACTGGATACCTGGAAACAGAAAACAAAAAAATTGGAAATAAAAACCAGAAGAATCTACTTAATGACAGTCAAATCAGTTACCTATATTGATTTCTAAAGATTTTAACAACCATTCAAAAAGATTTTACTTAAATGAGACTGTTAAAGAAAAGATTTATTTTCAAACATTTTATATGAAAAAGAGAAGAATTAATGTTTTTTTTTAACACATAAATACAATGCTAGCTTTTGCACGGTCTAGATACTAGAAGACTGATCTTCAATGTATACTATTTTCTTTGTCAGTAATTACTGCACACACCTTCACGGTATACAAGTTTTGGCACTTGGTAGGAAAGTCCAGTCATATAAAGAGGAGACCTGACCTCCCGTCGCTCGAACAATTCTGAATGGTTACACACCTGCAAAATAATATCACAGGACCTGGGTGTTTAGACTGCTGGTAGATTATCAATAATATTTGAATATAACATACTTTTCGTTTTCATCCTGTTTGCCAGGATGACCTTATTTACTAAGACTATAACATTAATTTTGAAGTACCCTCAACGAATCGTCACTGAATATTGTTACATTTGATATGACACCACAAGGTTAGTAACAGAAACCAGAAAAATTATTTTTAACTTACTTTCCTAAACTGCATGACAATGTTCATGAGACTACTGGTGGTAGACTGGGACTGGGAGGAATTGGCACTGGAGCTACACAGCAAATCGTCAATAGATATCTTGTTCCTGATGGCACGGTACAACATTCGCTGTCTCAATGTGAGGGGGCAATACACCAAGATTTCAATCTGCAATTTTAAAACATACAATTATGAAATCTTGTTAACACTGAAATGTCATTTTGGGTCAAATTATGATTATTGGTAGAGACAAAAATAAAAGGAAAGACCTTTGAGTACAGTAATCTTTTTAATGTTACTGTTGACATCATTATACCATCAAGCTACAATCAACCCTCAGAAACCACAAAAAAGCTGAAAGACTCCTCACAGCAATAATCAAGCATTTGATTCTGACATATGAATGAATCGGGTGTAAGGAGCAACCAGCTTGTATACTTAAAGCCAAACGAAAAGTACTCTTTTCACAGCCAATCAATTCTATACTAGTTTTTTTTTGCTTTTCTTTTGATGCATCAGTTTTCATACAGTTTTATTCCTGCCCAAACAAAGAACATCATCTTTTCCCTTTTCTTATTGTTGCACCAATACTGTAATTGTTTTCAGGCTCCAGTAAACAATTCAGATTTATTATAGTCAAAATTTTCATATTAACTTTTTTTTCATTGAAGACTTGATAATGTAAATAGTGCAATGTGTGTTAAAGGTATGTCTTTATTTTTTTTATTAATCCATGTGTGCACATGTAGACCGAGAAGGTAGATGAAAGGATGTACATGTGCATATCTTCCCCCAAAACAGATACATTGTAGTACATGTGTATACTGTGTCACATTAACTGAATTAATTCACAAGATGTTAGGGACTACACAGGCTAATGTTGACACAAAATAAGTCCATATACTACTCTTCTAGTTAGCCCCATCATTTTAAAATATTGAAGTGAATCCATGATTTTGTATGTTCCCTTGAGAAATGCTTCTCTGCCGTGCAATGATTGTGGTGTTTTTTGTCCGTGACTCTGGATCATATCAATGTTTTAAGCTTTACACTACACTGGTAAAAGTACTGCGTGACTCTGGATCATATCAATGTTTTAAGCTTTACACTACACTGGTAATAGTACTGTATTACTGTTATCGGATTAAACCACGCTATAATGAATAGGAATAATGAAAATATTGTAAAATTTGGTAATTATTTAGGTATTTGTTTCAAATAATCCCTAGAAATTCTGACCTGTTCTATTGATTGCTAAGATGATTGTTAAAAGAAACAAAATGTATTAAAAGTGGCTATCCAGCAAAGAGACAACATCTGACTTGAAAAAGATGACGTCTCCTGCAAAAAGATATGACATGTTTGACTGAAAGTTGATTTCATTAGTCGTATGTTTTAAATATCAAAAACGGGTCTGTGTTTACCTTGTCTGACAATTCATTCTCAACATCCTTTTTAACTCGACGCAACATGAAAGGTTTCAAGATCATATGAAGTCTGGATAATTGGTCTGAAAATTGGAATGTGGCACAGTCAGTTGAGAAAAAAGGTCCATCAAATTACATTCATAAGCAATAAATTTCAACAACAAAATTTATTTAAATCTGTTATTGTGAATAAGATAATTCAGAAGATAATTGCAGATGTATTAAAGAAAATTAATTTAGTGTGAACATTTACTATTCTTTATCAGTGAACATTTTTCAAACACAGAACATGATTTGACAAGACAAAGGAATTAATGACATCTAGTATGAAGTTTTCTGGAAGTGGAGTTGAAACTTCTAGTCATAAATAAATAAAACAACCTGAAGAATGATGCACAAAATACAAGAGCATTATATGTCTTTGGGAAAAAAAATTACAGAAAATATACCGCGGTATTTCTGATGCCTTTTGATGTCTTTGGGAAAATATGTTCTGGAAATATACATAGGAGATATGAGAATGACTAAGAAATAAACTTGTCCAACTACAAAGTGAAAATCTTACTTTCATCAATTCCAGACTGCTTTTCCACATGACTTTCAATGTCTTTTGAGAACCATTCGTTAAACTCATCGTGGGAATCAAACAAGGTAGGCATGATAAAGTGTAACAAGGCCCAAAGCTGCAATATGATAGGGATGACTCATTCAAGAATCAACAATAACACATACTTTATCAATAATGCTGTAATATTATTTTTCAAATCCTGCATTTATCCAGAAACAAGTCACATTTCATGTACAACAATGTATTCTGCTGAGTAATATTAGGTAACATGAATGTGAATGTATGACATGATACATAGTCACACAAATCATTATAAAGTCATGTTTTATGTGGATATGAATAGCAATACTGAAACATGTTAAAGTGATAATCAACAAATAAGATAAAAGGAGCTCTTGCTTACCTCTGCCATACTATTTTGTATTGGCGTTCCTGTCAACAGTAGTCTGTTGCGACAATTGAATCCTAGAAGTATTTTCCATCTCACACTGAAATGATATTTGATTGCTATAAATATTTTTTTTTCGTTATAGCATATAACTCTTTGGCATAGAAATAATCTATTTCTTATTGAATTCATTATCATTTACTACATACCAAAATTGTCCATGTGTTGTGCATTCATGTGGGAACAACAATGTTACTCTGTTATATCTGACTCTATCTGGCTCCAAACAAAATACTGAACACTAAAATGTGTCAAGTTTGTTATTTCTTGATTTATTTAGCCAGTCAGCCCTGATCAGCTTGAGGATCGATTACAGTAAAACTAAATATTGTGTTGCTGAAAATTCAGTACATTCTACTACAATCAAAGGTGATCACATGCATCAATATTGAATTATATTTTAATTTTTTAAATTAGTTTTAATTAAATTTGAACCAGTAATCAATATTACAGTTATTAACGAAACTAAGAAGAAATCATTGCAGTACCTGCTGCTGCTCTTGAGGGCTTGAGCCTCATCCAGGATCATATACTGCCACTTAATGCGTTGGAAGTACTTCACATCCTGAATGACAAGCTGATAACTAGTGATGACTACATGAAATGAGGCATCCTTCGTGTGCAGACATTTGGAGTCCCAGAACTTCCTCAAGACTCGTCGGTCTGTGGCATTACCCCAATAAGGCACAACCTGGAAACAACAAATTAATCTTGAAAATAGACAACAGCTTTCTCCCTTTCCAATAATACAACTATTGAAATGAAAGTAATCGTCTGTCAACATTGAAAATAGTAAACAGCTTACCTTGAACTTGGGAACAAATCGTGCTATCTCCTGCTGCCAGTTGTGTAGTGTTGACGCTGGTGCTACAACCAGGAATGGACCCCAAGTTCCCTGTGCCTGTAGAAATAAATACAAAGATATTTCCATATATTACTTTAAATTCTGTGAAAAAAACCAATTATTACACCAATTACAAAGACAGCTCTGAAATACAGCCAATAAAGTTTAAAAATGAGAGATGATTTTCTTTACACTTATAAAGCAATGACAGCAGCAAAGTTATCGAGATGTATTACATGGGGCATTCAAAAGCATTCTCCCTTTTTATAATCTCTTTCATCCTAGGATTTCTGTAGTGCAATGAGCTTCAGTGGCAACAGGAATGCTGTGTTATCAGGGCTTATTACTTGCCATGACCTACCTCGGCCAGATGAGCAAGGACTGCAACACTCTGCACAGTCTTTCCAAGTCCCATTTCATCAGCCAGGATACCATTTATCCCTTGATCATAAAGATTTGCCAGCCAATTCATTCCCTACAAAAACAAACAAACATTTAAAATTCTTTACAAGTAGATGAAGGTCCTATCTGAAACTTCTTTTAAGAAATAAATTATTTAATGTGGATAAGGTAAAACTGGACAATTACTGTTTTGTTAATCAATATATATGGTGTATTGCACATTATCCAAGATAAATGAACAGTCATAGTTTTCACATTTTGGATAATATAAATTACTTTGATGTCAAGGCTGTAGTTTTCATTTACACTTCATACAGACATCAGGATATTTTGAAGAGTTGCATTGAAAAATTTGACTCTAAAATAAATTGGATATCAATACCCAAAATTTCCACTTCAAGTCCACATGAACAATATCATAATCAATGTTTAACACTGAAAGTTGTTGTTACAACACTTTTCTTTAATATAAAGATAATCTTTGATCATGCACACTTTCTTTTAAAAAGGTTACAATTTAAGATAAAAAAAAAAATCAAATATATATAGCTGTCACTAGGTGGTAACAAGTATACTCCCTCCCTTCTTTGTCAAAATTGTCATTTAAATCAATGTATTGTGCACATTAGTAAATTAGCTGAAGAAGTTTTTTTCAATCATTAATGTACAGAGGTATAGCTCTGTAAGTAGGAATCATATGGAAGTGCATGGACAGATACTGCAAGCCAAAAAGACTGCACATTGGAGAGAGATCCATTTAAAATGAATAAAGTTAAGAGGAGTTTTTACATAAAAGGATATAATTCTTCCAAAAAGGGTCAAAATGCAAATTTATTTGGGGCTGTACAATAACCATAATGGGATAATTCTTTCAAAGGGAGTTGTAAAGCAATACTATTTAAGTGGCACATCTCCTGATGATAGTCGTTTTTTACAATACCTTAAGCTGGTAAGTTTTCAAAGTTCCTTCAAACATACTGGGCTGTGGCCTATCAACATCTGTGCTAATTGATGGGTTGGCAAAACTTGATTCCGCTATAAAATGATAACAATGAGATAAGAAAGTTTATTTAGACTATTTCAGACTTGTTAATGGTATTTGTCATATCAATCAAATCACTCGAATCACACAAAGGACAGTAGGTGTAAGTAAAACACATTCAGTTGAGTTGAAAAATTAATAACTTTGGTAAGACTAATAAGAAAAACATCAACTTTGTTTTCAGTCTGATATTCCAATAAAAGAATAAGTTGCTTGATTTGCTCTATAAGTACAGCAATAATTCAGATTGAACCATTGGTCCACAATTCTATTATAGGGCACAGTAAACTCTTCCATCACATTCAAAATTGAATTGACTTGAAAATGTTGGATCAAAAGTACTGACTTAGACTTCAAATGTGAGAAATTTGACACGATGTACATCTGTAGTGAAGACATTTCCCAGACCTTCCATTATAGGATAATTTACTTGTGGAGGAAATATTACTCACATGGATCATATGTAGATTTACTGGCAGCACGACTGTTGAACGAAGCATTCTGTGGAGAAAAAATCATACAATAAATGATCAGACATTGTAGTAAATTGGGTTGATTCCTTCTCCAAATAGCTATCAACTTTTTAAAGCCAAGATTATTAACACTTGCATTTGCTTGTTCAATGTTGATTCAAGTTTTGATCAATATCTTTTCATGACTAGAACAGCTGCTGTCCTCATTGAAGTTATGTAAATCAAAGAACCAGTGATACCTTTACTTTGTGGGCTTTGTAGGCATCCTCAGCATTCCTCAATGCAAGGTTCTTCATTCGGTCACTATCTACAAAGGAGGTAAAACACAAATGTTGAAAGAATCATTTTCCACCAAATTTCCAGATTTTGTTTCCTCAATTAGTTACATTGAGTAAATATATAGACTTAAAATTTCTTGAGAGTATCATGACAGTAAAATTCATGTAAAAAAACAGAAAACTTTCATTTATAGAATATTTCAAAATAAGCAAATAAACATATTTGTTTCTATATACTGCTTAAGCATTTTGAGTGTATATTTCTTATTCTTATTTATAACTAAAATGTTAGCACAAACATCCCTGCTTCTTTGGATATAAATATTGTTTGATTTTTACATCAGAGTAAAAAGCCTTGTAATTAAAGCTCTATGAGAACTTTACCATAATCATCTGATGCTACATCTACCAGAACACCTCCATCCACCTCAATGTCTTTTTGTGGTCGAGACTCATCAAGCTGGCGCAAGATCTTGTCTTTGTGACTCTCCCCTTCTCCTGTCATCTTTCTTGCCATGAAATGAGCATACAGCTCTGTCTGTGTGATCAGGAAGTTAAGCTTCCTCTGCTGTCGCTTAGCCTGTTGCAAAAAAAAAAAATATGCATTATAAAAACATGTCAAGAATAGTTCAAAACTTTCCAAATTCACTGTCTATTATAAATAGTTCTATCTTTATCATTAGAATTTTAAATCCTGTATTCTAACGCCTCACCCTATCAATCGCTGATATCTAGAATTACAAACAAATGTGTTTGCCTTGCCCTGCAAGAAACTCATCCTCTCATTCTGAGCTAAAGATAATGTGTTGGCTCCCTGGACCTCTTGCAGGATACCATCAAATTGCAAACAGTATTGAAAACTTTCTTTTTCTTGCAGGCAACAACACTTAAAAATAAAGTCCAAGCCTACCTCTCGGAGTTCTACATCCATCTTCCTCTGTTCCTGTGCCTCTTTTTCTGCTCTTTTCCTATGTTCCTTCTCCACCTTTTCAAATCGTTTCCAGTAGGTCTGCATTTCACGCGAAAGACGTTTGGCACGGGATGGAATTTCTTTCATGGTCTTCTGGGACTGAATCGCAGCTCTCCTACACTCTCGCATACATTGCTGGCTGATCTGTTGATAAAGAATCAATCAAATTTTATCTAACTTGGCCCAGATGTCAACCGGAATCATTTCACAATCTCAGAAAGAGAATTTGATCTATATTATTTTTTCAACCTTCATGTAATCAATAGAGCCTTTTATTTGACATCCATCATTTAAGCTATATTTTCATCTTTTGATTTATCAAACCATACACAAAGCCCACCTTTTTAAATGTCTGCAGCATTTCTTTCCTAGCTGAAGCCTTTTGCTTTTGTGCCTACAAGAAGAAACAAGACTTATGAAAAGAAAATCATAAATTCCAATTTAAGACAATTTTTTTTCAGTTGGATTGTGTATAAGAAAGTTAATGACATTGAAAATCATCTAGATGCAGAGTGTGATAAAATTCATAAGCACCATTTTTTTTTGTATTTTCTACAATATAGTAATTCCCTGGATTCACATTGGAGCTTTCTCGAGGTGTTCAGGATACAATCACCATTCATCATACCTTGGGAATTTCCTTTTTGGCAATAGAGATCCATAACCTCCTGCGCTTGGCATCTGCCTGTTCAGGAGTTAATTTTTTTACTTTTGCTGATTTAGAAGCAGCCTGCCTTTTGTGTGCCAAGAATGCCTCTATCAGCTCAGGGTCCAAGTCAAGTTCCTGGAAAGAAAAAAAATAAACATGCACATGACATGTATGATTTGAAATGTTATCTATGCTAACTGAAAATCACTACTCCCAGCAATAATACAAGTATAATTTCATAACAGATCACAGAAATTGACACTGATGTCGTCCAAACTTTGCTTGTTTTTAACAATGCTGCCAGAAGGGTAACACTGATTTCAATATTGAGACCTCGTTTGTTTAGAAACACACTTACTGCTTGTCCATTCCCTAAACGTTTCTCCTTTTTCAGCTTTTTCAACTTCACTGAAAAAAATAAACAGTACATATTTAATTAAACTTGTTTGAAGTCAACATTGATCAACTAATATCTAAGTATTTGAAACTGATACATGTTAATGTTTTGCCCAATGCACGTTTATAGACGTTTATGTTAGGACGTTTACAGAGGTATCATTCAATATCTGCTGTACAATGTATGAGCAGTGATAAATCTACATGCAATAATTTTGAAAGGACTCAAAAGAATTTGTGGCAATACCTAAATTTTATATTTTGGAACCCATTGTTTTAGAAATACAGTGAAAAAGGACTAATGAAAATAAATTGTAGATTGATTGATATGTAACATTCAAAAGATGGTGGTGGGGAGGTAACTAGATTTATTAAAGTTTTAAGAGCATCCCGAGACCAAATTGATTAGTATATGACATAATGAAATTTGCTTCTGTGACAATGTGCCTGGATGGTGATGGTAAGCTTGTTGATATCCTAATTCTGCTTTGCAAACATTGCTTAATAATTTCATTTCAATCTTCAATAGTCCCATTTCCAAGTTCCAAAGATAAACTTTTGAAATCCTTTTTGATCAAACAAGCTTTTTGACCTCTTCCATGAGGTTTTTATATGAAGTTATTCCCAGTTACACTGAACAGAATTCTATTCAATCATTTGAAGAAATTGTTTACAATTTTTTTTATTAATGTATCAATTGTGAAAACAATGTAAATGACATTCTCTATAAATTTGTGTAAGCTCTTTTATATTTAATCATTTGGGTTCATATCTTACCTAAAAATTGATAATCAATGAAAAAATCATGAAAAATGTCTTCATTGTTATTTGACTGTGTTGAAATATCAATAAAAAAAAATGCTTTTCTTTCCAAAACAAAATTTTCAAAGATATTGACAGAATTTAGAAAACCATTTTCACTATTTCAAAGAGAATTTCTTTTCCAGTGAAAAGTATATTAATATTGAAATCTTTAAAAGCAACAATACCTTTTAGCTTTCTTTCCATTTTTTTCTGATCTTTGGATATTTTTCTCTTTGGCCCCATGAATGATTTCTGATGATCATTGTACTTGTCAAAATTGGACAGTAAACCTGTGCTGTAGTACTGGAACTGATGAAGCTGTAAACAAGTCATGCATAGTACAATTACAAATTTCCTGATACATTTATCAAGTAGATAACAATGACTTCTAACATCAATGATATCCAGAATCTTGTGCACAAATCCTTCAGCAGCAGTTAATACATGAAATCAATCGAAAATGACTAATATGTCCTTAATAACTATAAAATAAAAAATGACTGAAATGTTCTTAATATAATGCATAACTAGGTGCTATATCATCTCAACCTGACAGTGTTTTTAAAGGGTTAGAAATCCCATCTGGTTTTAAGTTGAAGCAGCTTGCTCGATGGTATGAAGTAAGTCAGTGACAACTAACCTCATTATCTTGATAGAATTGCATTTGATGCTTCCGCTGGTGTTTGTGGATCTTGAGCATGGCATGAAGGTCTTCCTGCCGGATTTCTTTCTCTTCATCTTCATCTGATGAACTATCACTCAACAAGATATTCTGTAAGAAAGTTCAAATAAATAATCCAAGCCCCCAAAATAGATATCTTGTATGTCATGTTATCTATACCACTAACAAGAAGCAAACAAATTTTCACTTCAGACAGAATACATGCAGCACTTAATATGCTTTTCAATTAAAAAGAGATCAGACATTGGTATTTCTGGAGATATAATTCATGGGGGAGACTATTGAGGCCAAAAAAGCTATCACAATAGTATTGCCATAGTAAAATTACTATTGCAATATGCTTCATGCTATTCTGTGATATTTGTTGTGAAACTCATACACAGCTGGACTATCATTTTCATATATACCCTAGTTTACAATAAACTTAGTACAATGCTTCTTTTTTCAAACTTGTTAAATGTTTTAAAAGGTGATTAATTAATCATGATTATTTGGTTTTGACAGTTTAAGTTTGATGCACTTCATACATTGTGTTAAAAAACAGTCTGACCCCAGTAACTAAAGGTAGGATAATATATAGCTATATATCAAATGAAGGTGCCTGTAATTTCACAAACAATAGTTTAATTGGGACCAGTTTTGTAACACTCGTCATAATTTTCAAGTAACAAAAAAACTGCCCTACTGCTGCTTTTTGCCTTTTTATTGAGCATGATTTTTAAAATGCTGCTACCTTCCACCATGGGTCATCTCAGGGATGGGTTTAAGACAAGGACACAGAGTTAAAGAGGTCACTCTCCTCTAATATAATTTGTAGATTTAATTAAATCATATTGGAAACAATAATAATATAACAATGCTTTATGATAAAACTCTCATTAATGTAACAACTTGTGCATAAAATTAAGTGATTGTGCAGTTGTTGTATTTAGCGCTACCCAGATCAAAGTCCCAAAGGTACTTTCATATATAAAGAAGGCTTGCAGCCATATGGCTATAACTGTGAAAAATCTTGCTTTCAAGTAGCATTTTTGTTTTGTCTTAAAACTATTGTTTACAATTGATAGTTGAAGAAACTATGGTGATAGTTATCAACTTGAAATTATGACATCAACCTATTGCTATCAAGAGCAAAGCTGTTGCAATACATCAATAAGTTGGCCTATTGTTATACCACTAATGATTCAGCCAATATTTAATATTTAATAATCAAGTGCAATGAACCATTAAGGAAAGTATGTATACTGCACATAAAAAGAGCTGTAAACAAGCTGATACATAAAAATATGATAATGTCACAATTGTTTATGCAGTCTTCTCCCCAAATTTAAACCAAATGAAGCTTCCATATTCAAATACAATTACATTTTACAAGTCAGATATTATTGCCTCTAAATTTTCAAGATATCAAACATACTTTAATCCAGATATAACTGTCATACAAATTGGTATAATGTTTTGTCCTGAAATTTCAAGTAACTAAATAATTACAAGATTTGCTTGTAAACATGAAAACCAAGAGTAAAATTCTATTCAGCCAGACAATATTTCAGATCCTCCATTTCACAACACAATTTCTCATCTTACCTTCAGCCATTTCCTTCCCTTTTTCACACGGCTAAAGTTATACAGTCTGGTTTTATCAGCCTTTCTCTCTGTATAGAAAATGAAATTAAGAATTAATCTATTAGAAAAAAATGCAACATTTTGCTTTCATCTTACATTTCTGATACCAAGAAATACAGATGTTTTACCTTTCCAATACTGAGAAACATTTAAGTTTTACTTTAATGTATATGGTGTGAAGATTATTATCTATAAGATATTGTATAACATTATAGAGTTGAGAATAACTTTTTACAAGTCATTCATAATAGATTTATTTACAAATCCATAATATTGAAATGTTTTCTCATAATCAAATCCTTGTACATGTCTTTATGATTGCAATACTTATGCTAGAAAATTATCTTAACATTCATTCTAAATGTAGGTCAGATCTTGAAATGATATAGATTTGCCTTATTCATACTGACCGGCCTTAGTGATGGTAATGCCATTGAGAATTTTGTTCCCCTCATCATCACGGAGACAAGGCTGGAGGAGGTCATATTCGCTATCTGTACTGTCATAAGGGTCACTAAAAGAAAAGGAAAAATTGGTTATTAACCTTTCTTTACCATTAATTAAATTCAAGGCCTATGCACATCTTTTTTTAAATTTCATATGGAAAAGACTGAAAACATTCCACAAAATTTTATGAAAAAAGTTTACCTGAAATTTAATACAGAGTATATATTCTGTGAATGGTCTTGAATGTTTTACCGGTTATTCATTGCTGTCCACAAATTCAAAGTTAAGGCAAAAATGGTGATAAGAACATAACGTGTAATAAATTTTCAAAGTCTGCAACACAGATCATGGTTCCACCTCATGAGGGGGAAAATATATCACCCCAATATTGTTTGTTTGCCAAAACCTGACTGGAAAATTTAGGGTTGGGTAGGTAGGTAAGGAAAAATATATACATACATATTAATACAAATTTTATGAATATGTACATAATCAATATCACAAAAAATGTTGCTTGCTTGTCCCCATTCACATATAATTTGACAATGCAAAATTTGCAATGTTTCACTTTTAATTTACAAATATGCTGCCAGATGGAAATTGTCTTCCACTCTTCAGTGATATTTGACATTTTAATGAAACATTTTGAAATACAACCTGAGATTGTTGTCATCTTTCAGTTTTTAGTTTTCAACAAAACATTATCAAGCGTAATAACAAACAAGTCAACAATAAAAACATACATATATGCTAAGGTTTTCTCTGTCATTGGAATACCTGCTATTACTTCATATTTGGCAGAAACACTGTTGCTGTTAAATATGTTGTCTGCATAATTAGCTTAAAAACTTTCAGCAGAAGTTGAAGTTGACTTGACTAACTGAAACTTGATAGTTGTCCATAACCTCACTGAACTCATCTAACAATTATGTGTCACCCAGAACAGTATCCAGAGCTGTATCCCATGTATCTTTTATATTAACTTTCATGATATTAACAAGTTTTGCAGTCTCCTTGTTCATCTGTTATGAAAAAGCAAGAAAAAAAGTAAATCCACACCATTTTTGTTTTCTTTGGTCTGCTCATGTTCAACTAGATGTTTGAAATGATCTGTGTACATGTGTTCTTAATTTCAAGTGTCTAAGTGACTTTCTTCATCGTGGGAAATATTTAATTCAGGGTCATCTAGCCAAACCACTAAAAAAGTAAACTCTGTAAAAAAAAATCAATATAAAATCTTTATAATCAGGATGATTATTTCTAGTCTGTCGGGTTTGGGCAAACAAACATGATTTTAAAGTCAATAAGACAATGTCTAGCGATAGGATGAGTTAAGGAGAATGAAAATCAGTAACAAGGTATGTAGTTAACTAAATAACTTGCTAATGCTAACTAACTAACTAACTGCTCATTTCAGCAGTTTCTACCTTGCTTATTGCTTCATTTAATTAATGTTAATTTGGATTTGTAAATCACTTGGTATCTTTACGAATCAAACTAGATGAACATACATCAACTTATTGTATATGAGTTACTTTTTTAGATTTTTTTTTTACAAATTTTATTTAACAATTGTAAAGCTAATGTTGTAGCATTGTCAAAAATATCCTTCAAAAGCCCGCATGAACAACAGTTTTGAATTTCATGATATATGCTAATGCTAAGGCAATATATAACCTGATTCAATAAAACTTAATACCTAGAATTCTGATTATAACTATACAGCTAGGTTTAACAAAACTGACTACAAGGTGTCATAGGTGTGACTTAATGAGTACCTATGAGTTGGTGGCTCGTTAATGATTTTTTCCACATGAGTAAGAAATGGTTCCAAGCATAGGGCACTCTCAATCTGCTGTATGTGCAGAGGCTTGGCTAACTGTTGTCCATAGTTGTGTTCCAGGGACGTGTGATAGGACATTATACACACTCCTGAAAATACAATCAGCATAATTCATATTTACAATTAATTACATCAATTGTACTGAAAAGAAATCAGGCTAATTGAGCACTCTAAAATATAAAGCTTATATACAATCCTGAAGAACTTGACACATGCCTATCCCAATTCAAGTTGAAACTATGTAAATATTCCCAAACTTATAAAGTTTTTTTTTAATTCAATAGGTATCAACAATCCATTAAGGATTTGGGAATTATAAGAGTACAGTACTCAAAGAATTTTTATAGAACTTCTAGAATTTCTGGAAATACTTAAATTTCCATTTAGAAACCTGTCCTTTTTTGCAGTAAAGTTGAAAAGGACTCATAAAAATAAACTGTTGATTGATCACTGGCAGGAAATGATGTAGGAACCAATCAACATGCATTTTTTGTAAAAATAGCAGAAGTCATAAACTAGCATTGTGGTGTCAACAACAGCAAGTACTTCAGAATGTGATTTGTACTGCAAGCACAATCATGTGAATAGTCAACCACAAACTCTAACTTACTGACATAAGTCATGATGTCATCATAAGTTGTTTTTTTATTATTATGTGACAGGCATGAAAATGAAATTGCCAACTGATATCAATACCTTATTTTAAAATGTAACTGAGCAAGTATGAGTGACTCATTGGTACACATCATAATGGACATAATATTCATGTCCAGGATCTCAAATTTTGAATCTCAAAAAATTGCAAAAACCAATACAGTGTTAAAAAAAGTAGAAACTTCAAATTTACAATGAAACTCCAGCCTCTAGGGCCTGTGGGAGAACAGAATCAAACTATCTGGTATAAATGCTGACAATATGAATAATAATAACAACTCAATGTCTATATCATCATTATGTGTTTTGCCAGTTGTCAGGTCTACATTCAATCCTTATATAATCACTTATTCAAAACATCTACTTGGTCAATATATACATGGAATACAACAATGAGAAAAAGAAAAAGACAACATAATGTACCAAAATGATAAGATAACAGAATGCTGTTTTTGATTCATATTTTTTTGCACAGAGTATGACTTTGAATGTGTCAGTCAAGGATAAGACAGCAGACTTATTCAACATCTGGAATAATAAAATTTGATATTATTCTATCTGTAAGATAGCTTTTAAGATATAATGAAAAATTCTTTGATGTCAAAATTTTGGGTCAAATGTTTGAGCAAATGCTGGTGTGTTCCCATAAATTATACATACCTATTAACTATTATATTAAATGAATTTATGATTAATTTACAAATAAAGTGAATCATTGAAACTTGTTAAATTCAACAATAACTTGTCAGTGAAGCAATCTCATATGTGTCAATTAATGTTACATTATATTAGTCCATTAACCTTTGTTCATATAATTCATTAGTATTGATAACCTGAATATATGTAACTTCATTTCAGTCTATTACTATTGCAATAATTTACACTGGGCATTACTTATACATAGGCAACTGCTTGTGTCATACCATTTGCAACATTGATGTAATAAAATTTGATAGGAATCGTCTATATATGAAGGAACAATATCTTAAAAACGGAAACGGCACTTCTCCATTTACAAGGGGACCTATAATTACTACTTTGAAAAGTCTCATTATGTCTGTTTAATTCAATAAAGATTAGAAATCAAATAAAAAAACGTACACAAGGTTAAACAAAACACGTTTTCAAACTTCATTTCCCTCCACTGCTATTTGCCGCAATGAGATGTTTTGTTGTTTTTATTGTAATAATTTATAATTCTGAGTGATAATCATTAGTATAGATAACCGATTGCCATAAAAACGTTTTGTGAATGACCTTTATTTGTAAGCGACAGCAGCACTCTATCGCTAACTACAACAACAGACAACGTGCTAAACGGGTTTCCTCTGAAGGTTGGTGACATAAATAACACAATAATCAGTTTACAGACATAACCAACATACAAAATATTTGTAGCAGACGAAAACAATAAACACATGGCACGCTAAAAGTCACATTTTACCTTAATTCCAAATTTCGACCCCTATTTTCTATTCATGAAGCTAACAAATGTATGCAGAAAAGAAACCAATATGGCGGGTTTTCCAGGATAGCCAATACAGCGCAATGGCTGTTCGTCGCTCGAACAACCCGGTTCATGACTTTCCTCTCTCTCTGCAGGGGGTCTCCCGCCATTGCAAAGCGTGTTGTCTTAAACCCAAAAGAAACTGGCCGAACAGAGAATTTGAATACAGAACAAACATAAACGACAGATTAGGAGGACTAATAATTTAAATATTATGACAATGTACAAGAAAATACTCTAAATAAACGCTTTTGGATTTAAAATAACATCATTTTACTTTAATAGAGTTTATCTGTTTTGTTTACACCGGAAATAGAAATATTTTCTGCATGTTTAATTTTCCAAACATTTTTATAATCATTGTAAAGTTAAGAAAGAGCAGAAAAAGAATAAATAAATAAGTTGTTGCTAAAGGAAAAAGTAAAATGGATTTAGAAACAAAATATTTTCCCTGTTAATATATGTGTGAACCCCGTAGTATGAGGATAAATGCTTGTCAATTAGACGCTTGAAAGAAAACTACCGACTTCCCACTGATTCAAACATTTTATTGGGTCGTACGCAGATTGAACACAGCGGCGTTGGATGGTAAGTGCGTGAAAGCGGCCGTCATCTTTATTTCAGAAAAAATATCGTTTATTAGATGTATTAGAATTATTAACTTATGACGCTTTGCAAAATCATTACATCAAAAGTCTTTAATCTGATAAGTTGTTGATAACAAAGGTAAATTCACCAAAAGTTTTGATTTAACTCCTGTAGAATCGAGTTGCGTAAAGAACGAGCAAAAGCCAAATGCTTTTACAACCGACTGACGCAATATAGTATTCATCGACGATTTCCCGACTATCACATATATTTCAATTTTAGAACTAACCTAAATGTAAAATGCATGAAGTAACGACGCATAAATATCGACATTTTATCTTGTTTTTTTTCTTGCTTGTTGTACGATATAGACTTTACGTCGGTGCTCACATAAACTTGGAGGGTCAAGACACGTTTTCGAGAGTCTCAAACTAAGATACTTTTAAATAACGATGATAATGGTGAACTATTTTTTATGCCATTTAAATGAGAGACTTAAATCTTTGATTAAAAGTGAAGTTTCGTCTATTCATTGAATTGTTAATCATAGGTCTTCATTGTTGATAGAAAGTAAAAGCACAAACACCCAACGGTATATTTAACAATCCATTATTACCACATTTTTTGGATTTGAAGATATGGTTTAATATTCATGTTTCAAAGATATACCAAAAGTATCTTGCAGTTCTTGTACTTAAATGCAAAATAAGTAATGTTATAGTGGCAGATAATGTTTTATATGGAATGTTTGTTGTATTTCTCTCAACGTATGTAATTTCTGTATCTTAAAAGATCTATTGTGTCGAGCAGACACTTAGAACTTGTAGCTTCATGTAGACTAAAGTGTTTTCCGTAGTTAACACAGTAACCAAATTAAGAAAAAAAATGAAATTGAAGTCCCGTTATTTGCAAAAAGAAAAAAAATTATGCAAGTTAAAATTAGCATTTTGGCAAGTAAGTTTGGTTATCACTGCATCTATAGCTCTTTATATATATATGTAATATTGTATTGATCAGAAGGTGGTAATTGACTTGTTCACTTAACAAATTTCTCTTAAAAGTGATTTTGTACATTTTGAACATGTCAATAGATTTAGAAAAAAAAATCATCTGATTCTGACTTTGTTTTTCAGCAAACTTATCAACAATGGGGACAAGAGTATATATTGGCCGTCTGTCCTACCATGCCAGAGAAAAAGATGTTGACAGGTTTTTCAAGGGTTATGGCAGAATCAGAGATGTTATGTTAAAAAATGGCTATGGATTTGTTGTAAGTGCAAGTTGTGGAGCTTGAGACTTAGTTTGTACTTTACCTAATTATATTTGTCTTTTTTGCTTGAAAGTATTGTCATTTAAAAAATGTTAAGATGATTTCATTACAATACTGGATTCATCAATGTTACATAAATGAGCTTGATTGATTCCTAAAGTGAAGTGGTGTTCATCTTTCAGTTAAGATCAGACCTCGACAGAATCTTTAGTATTAGGAAGTTAGAAAGTTCCGAACTATCTTATGTATTTTTAAGCTGAACTCCAGATCAAATGAAAGAAACATTGGCTTTATTGTGAATAAAGCTGTCAGACCTGCTTCATATGATTTGCATGATGACATCAGATTTCAATTTTAAGGAATTTGAAGACTACAGAGATGCAGATGATGCAGTCTATGAATTAAATGGAAAAGATTTATGTGGTGAAAGGTAAGAGATTTAACTTGACATGTTAATTTGGCAATCATGAAAAGTATTAAGAATGTTGCATCTCTCTTACATATATTACTTAAAATAATGGATGGTATATGCTTCCATGGCAGAGTTGAAATTCTGCTGTCAATTCATTTCATTACCACTTCTAATTTGGTTATTGGCCAGTATTTTTTCTGTAGATTTTCAGGTGTATATTGGGTACCAATGAAATGCAAGGTTAAATGATGATGATCTTTCGGGTCTGAATGTTATTGATGACAAAACTACCCAACACTATCTGATGACCTTGTATTACATCTTTAATGCAAGGAAGGTATTATGAGAAGTGTTTTTCAAGCTAAAGATTTTCACTACTTTTCATAATATGGGTGGCTTCATCGTCTATTGAATTGATTTCCATTTTTTCAGTTACAGTGCTTTGGGCTTGCAAAACCTGTTGAGGAATATACCCATGAATATTTAAGTGAATAGCTGCCACAACATCACTAATGGGTTGGAGAGGGGGGGAACCAAACCAAATATGTTCAAATTACAATCATGATCTATGGATTTATTTCTCTCATGTATTTGCTCATACTGAAGCAAACATACAACCATCTTCATCTAGATTAAAACTATACCATTCTTACAAATTTTGCTTTCATTGGGAATTATATAGATTTTGTATGGAATTAAAGCCCATGTTTTGCCTTAAATCATAGTAAAAATATACTACACTTTAAATGTCATGATGAACAACTGTAATGCATTTCAGAGTAATCGTAGAGCATGCTAGAGGAGATCCTAGAAGCGGAGATTATCGACGTGATAGTGGACGTGACAGAGCCTTCAGCTTTCCTCCACGTCGCCGGGGAGGCAGAGATAAGTAAGGATTCATTCAAACTTTATTAAACAGAAATAGGATTACAATCTTAAGCAGCCCTTTGTATCATTGCTAAATGCTTGAACATGCTTCAATAATCTGCACATATTTGAGTATGCTTATTCTCATGATTTTTAAAAGGCAGATAAATGTTAGAGAAAGAGGAGTGAAGTGGTGTAAAGAACCAAGAAGTGTTACTTTTTATCGTAATTTAGTGTTTTTGATAAGGCTGGGCATTGTAACATTTGTTCAATTACCAAGTCATGGTCATGATCACTGTTTATGAAAGTTAGTTTTTAATTGAGGTGAAAAGTATCAAAAGCGATACACATTGATGTTAAACAAAAGAACCTTTCATTGATGAGCATGTGAGATACATTTACCAACAAACAGTTTTTAAATGATTTGGTTTGCATTTCATCCTTATGTATAAGCGAAAATAATACCATTCGAATGAAAATTTTAGTCGAATAGTTTGTCGTATTGACCCTGCTTTGGTCAGTAAAGTAAGATACTTTTTGACTTTACATTTTAGACACCAGGCAGTGGTCAAGTGAGTACGACGGCAATGAACGATGACTATTATAACCGTAGATGACCACTGATGACTCCAGGCAACAGATGATTTAAAAATAAAAAATGAAAAATAAAGAAAAAAAAACATATTATTGAAAAAATCATGAAAAAAATCTCACCTGACCACTCAACCATCATTAACAGCTATTTCAACACAGAAACATTTGAGATAAAATAGATTTTAAAAAAAAGGCTTCGCAAATATCTACATTTCATATTTACATGGTCTTTGAGCAGATTTGGCTGTTGAATCAATTTTATATTTTGTGTTGTAGACGTTGTGACTTCATAGTTTGAACAATATAAATAGAATACTAAGGTTCGAATACATTGAAATCAGGAGACAAAATATTTATGGGAAATGTCTTACCTTAAGTCTTTTCTGAGGAATATACTGGATGGTTTGTTGTCATTAGGAAAATAATAATAGTGCTAATGATTTTCAGTTTTGTATTTCAAATACAATCTACTCACAGTATACTGCAGCTTTCACTTTGTATTGGTCACAATTACCTGTATTGTGTGAGCAGGTAAATGATACCTTCTGACGGGTCATATTCACTATTAAATCACACTACATAATGTGTACTGAAGCCTGTACACAATTCAAATTAAATCATTATGTATGGAGTACTAGGGGGAAAACTTAACTGTTTTGCATAAAAAAATAGAACTAACCCAAAAAATTAAATAGCCAAACATTCCAGTGAAATGCTGGTTGTTGTGGCGAAGGTATGTGACAGACTTTGCATACACTGTGATCAATCTTTTGCAGGTATGGTCCCCCAATAAGGACTGAGTATCGCCTCATTGTGGAGAATCTTTCATCTCGAGTCAGTTGGCAGGTAGGTCAAACACCGTTGGCTGCAGTAGGTTAAATGCTATGTGAACTGAATGTTTATTTTTGTGTTGATGGGTTAGGTCAGGACCCAAGTAATGACTTAAAAAAAGTCTTGACAATACAAAAAAGCATTTTTAGGGTTATTCAGATTGACATCTGCCTCATTTAAGGATTTTGGTGTGAATGCATGATGGGTATTTATGGGTGTTTGGTAGCTTCCCTTTTAATTCAGTGCCAATCATCTCATGACTTGCTTTGCAGTTTCTGCTCAATCATCTTCTCCTATACGAAAAATTACACCTGCCTTGCCATATTTCTTCAGACCTTTACACAAAAAAGAATGGAGAAGCTGGTTTTGCAAATGTAGGCCTTATTCCTTGAAATTATTCAAAAGTACTTTTATGAATTGGTGTAGTCCCTGTCCTTCCTACGTATTATTATTCAAGACTCCAGTAAAGTAAATTTGTGGTGTAAAGTTTGTCGTCGGTACAATATCAATATCCAAATCAATAAAAAGTACTATATTCTTGTTCCAAAGTTCATTGTTCTGAATTCTTTAAGATAATTGGTACCATGCAGATGAAATGTAATTTTTATAAACATATTTACTACAAACTACAGATAAAAAGAATGAATCAAATTTCAGATTGCAAGTATTTGATAGGAAAATAACATGGAATAAAAACTAAGGGGGTGAACATTGGACTAAACCACTACCAAAACTTACCTAATCCATGACAAAACAAGAAGTGTAAACCTTGGTCAGTAGCTAGAGTTGTTTCTTTCTTTTATTAATTTTATGGACAATAGATTACTCTTTAATTTAATTAGAATTCTGAAGAATGAAATACCAAGTGAGTTGTTGGGCTCATTTAGTTATTGATGCTTTTACACTTATCTTAGAAAATGGTGTTGTGTGATATGAAATTAGTTATGCATTTGAGAGAAAAAATGCATCCAAGCAAAAAAATCAGGAAAATTATTGAAAGCAATGAGTAATTCTAAACTGGTATTGTCTTCTCTCATAAGCACACATCCTCTAAGATGAGGTAGCTGACGAACCATGAAAGACGAGGGTCTGATCTGACTCCCATAAAGTGTTTGAGAGATGAAGGTTCCCTCTGGGTCGATCACACATTGCTTGCTTGATGGGACACACATCCCTGAAAGATGTCGGTCTGATGTCAGAGGGGGTTCCACTCGGTCATTGAGGCACCCAAGTGTCATTCCCAATTTGCTTGGTCAATCGATGCTGGCAGAACCGTGCAAATTCTACTGTCGTCCGGGACGGACGATAGGGTTAGATTTCAGATGGCAATAGTGCTCGTCCACGTGATCAGAATCAGGGGAGGACTGGCATTACTGTACCAGGGTTAGCTAACTAAGTAGGCTTGACAGACGGTCATGCTGGAAGTCTAGGTAGTGCGGCACTAGACAGGGCAGGACTCCACTATCCTGTAGGGTTCAAAACAAAAGCTCTAGCCAAGCGATTGATGAGAAAATAGAAGGTTCCCTGGAGGTAATGTTAACAAGATAACTTGGAAAAATCTTTGTTCAACTTGTCTTGTAATTGTAAAGGAATGTTGATGCATATCAACTTTATTAGCAATCATAGTTTATTTCAAAAAGAAAATCACTCCTTTAATTTTGGTCTTGATGGTTCTATTTTGTCTAAACAAAATTGTAAAAAAAATTATCACAAAACATGTAACCAAGACACATTAGAGATTGGAGGTCTGGACCAAATTGTGTACAAGGAAGGTTACATTTAAAAAAAAACAAGTTTAGGTGTCCGACATAATTCTCCGTTAAAATCTGCCAATGCCAGAACCTACCTGGGAGATTAGAATAGTGTCTTATTATTCCTTTGTTGGTAAGTATGAAGTTTCTTCTTGGTTTCCTGGGGTCTCTGTTAACCTTATTCTGTATTTGGAACACATAGGTAAGTATAGGCCAAAGAGGAGGACTCTATCACTCTCAGGGAATGGACAGGCTGAAGACTGGGTAAACATTTTATTCAGGATCTTATAATCTGTTAACAATTTTATTTCTGCTGATCACCCAGCCTCTGTGCTGTGTTGCAAATTGATTCTTATTGTTTCCTCTGTTTGCTGTACTTGAAGGACCTGAAAGACTACATGAGACAGGCAGGAGAAGTCACATATGCTGATGCCCACAAACAGCACAAAAATGAAGGGTAAGAAATCTCTAGGAATGATTAATAGAAAAGGAATGATGGTATTGTTTGTCCTTTTGATTAAAGAATAAGATTGCAATTGGGGAACCATCTTGGATTTTAATAATGCAAAATGTCAGTGATCTTGTATATAGATCAAATAAACTTTACTTTTTGTATTAATTTTTTTAATAAAGTAAGCAAGACCTTATAAGTGTTTTTGTAGTATGTTTAGTTTGAAGATCTGCTTGTGATCTGTTTAGGAATCGAGACATAACTGGTAATGGACTTGTTTAACCAATCAAGTGAAATTAAGATATCATGCTGTCTAATCTTGTTTTTAGTCTTGTTAAACAAGACTTCGAAATTTCAGGCTGTTTATTAATAACAATTTTTTCTTATTAATTCAGTGTGGTGGAATTTTCTCAATATGGAGACATGAGGAATGCTCTAGACAAATTGGACAACACTGAAATCAATGGCAGGAAGATCAAGCTGGTGGAGGATAAGCCGAGGCGAAGCAGGAGAAGGTCAGTTCCTTTAAAGGTTTTTGATTTTAGCCAAAAACAAAATTTTGTTCACTACTGAAATTGCTATAAAGGTCATATAACCAGAGAAGATGCAGTAACATTCTGACTTCTGTTGTATAAAATGTAGTTGTATAACAGTTACAATAAAATCTTGAAGAAACAGTCAGTAAATGGAATGTGTGATTTCTTATGTTTCTGATTCCTAATGCTTTGTCTTTGTAGCCGAACAAGGAGTAGGTCAAGATCTGCAAGTAGGTCAAGATCAAGGTCACGAAGCAGGTCAAGGTCAAGAAGCAGGAGGAGCAGAAGTCGTAGTCGCAGCAGAAGTAGTCGACGAAGCCGTAGCAGGAGCAAACACAGTAAATCCAGATCAAGATCTAGGTCAAGGTCCAAATCAGAACCCCGCAAGTCTATGTCAAGGTCAAAATCAAGGTCAAAGTCTCCATTAGAAAATGGATCAAGTGAACAAAAGGATTGAAATAAATTGGTGACAAAAGGTGTGTTCATTAATGTGGATGGAGATGTAGTCAAGACACCTTGGCACGACTTGTGAAGGAACTTCTATAGACAGAATACTAATCATATCATGCCATACTTGAGCATGTTCTCTTCAGCTATGTTTTCTTAATTATGTTTTTAATCATCTCATATCTCATTGACATTCATCCGTTTTAGATATGCTTGACATTCTTTTTACAATTGGCTACATACAACGATTGTGATTGGTCAGCAGCTGTTGTCCGAGACAATGGTCTGTTATGTTTAATCTTGTATAAAATCCATCATTGATTCATTGTGGATGCTTCGTACGTGTCTTCAGGAATGTAAATTGTAACATGTCAGATGTAATAAAATATTTTTGTTTCAATGTATCCTATGTTTTCATCTTATTATTTCTTGTACATTTCTTCAGTCTGTCTTAAGATATCGTGACAGCATGTTTTATTCAGGACTGGGAATATCCAGAATCTCCAAACTTCTTATCTAAATAAAAGTGGTTTTTGAAATCTGACAAGACTTGTTTTAAGAGTATTCAATTGCCTTGAAACCAGGTTGGGGGGGTCCATTTTAACATTTTAAGATCCATAAGGATTTTTCCCTAAATTGAAGATGCACGAGTGTATTAAAATGAAAATCTCAGTCTTTCAGACCAATTTAATTGTATATTAGACATGTACAACACAAAAGGGTTTTCCTTGATAAGGGAGTCCAGGGTGGACATCTATATTTAACTTTACAAATACTTATAACTGGACCAACTGCATCAGTATTTCAATACAGAGGCATATATTTAACACCAATGTGATGTCAAGATTTGGTAACATTCAAGATCAACATGATCAAATCCAAGACGAGGTTTGGTATTCCTTCGACATTTGACTGGAAGTCGGACATAGTACAATATAAAATAAACCCCAGCATAAAGGGTGATTTTGAAGACCTTGTTTTTAACAGCATGATCTGATAAAAAGCGTCCACAATTTCTGTGTTTTGTGGTTGCTAAGGTACTTCTTTTAAGTTTTAACAAAATGTTGCATGAATAATCACCAAAAATTCACATTTCAAATTCATGCGTTCTGACTTTGGTGGACTGCTTTCGAAGATTTCTAGGACCTGAGAGCAAATCTTGATATTGGAAAAACTGGCTATTTGGATTAAAATTGCAAAAAAGTTTTGCTGTAAACAAAAGTCTTAAAACAAGTTTAATACTAGAAGATGGTCAAATATAAGATTAAAGTCATTTTTGAACATTTATCTTGAAAACGTTTGCCACGATAAAGGTTGTCAGTAATTCAGGGAAAAAATAGAATATGTGAAAATTATTTATTTCTTGTGAAGTATATTCTTACAACTCCAAAGAAAAGTAGTGTGGAAACAGATTATTTGCTTTTCAAAACTTTCAAAAAATCGTCGGAAAAACGTGATTCTAGAATTTTTCAATTCTTAGGAGAGTACACCCTTCGACAGGACGTGATTTATCAGAAACACCTTGCAAATATAAAAACATGTCCTGCAAACAGATGGAAATTATTAGTTGAGGTCTGTCTATCTAAAATGTAAGGATGAGTAATTTGCTTCATTATCTACAAATCACGAAAAGGAAAAAAAACCCTTAGACCATGCAGTCCAATGCCTTGTGATTTGAAGAAAAGACTCAATTGTTCTCGCTTGTAAATACATCACATGCATGAACAAGTCCAATATTTATTCTGTGATCAAGCAATCTAACAAATATGCAGTGTTGAGATAACATTGATTTATAACTTTGGATATGATTCACTTCGAAATTTTCTACATTTTACCACAGGTAGATCAATATCGGTGCATGTGGTGATAACTCCAGGTCTTTTTATACTGTTGTATATATCACTGAATATTATCATGTAAAACTATGTTTATCCATGAGCATGGAGGACCTTTAGCATGCCATAATGAGGTTGCTGCATCTCCAATTTAGTATGGAAAACACTGCCCATTTACAGTGTACTTGCACAAAACCTTGAACTGGAAAATATATTTGATATTGTAAAGGTCTGGTCATCAAAGATCGAATTGGTCTCGATGACATAATATCTGAATAGGTAGTCTATAGTTCTCTTTATGATATTCAAACTCTAGAAATCTATATCAAGGTCAAATAGAGGTCACTTGGGACCTCCTTTCAGTATGCAACAATTATTGCCATGGATGTACTTAGGAAATTTGAGCATGTAGAAAACCTATATCTATATATGACTTACAAATTTTGAAAGAACAGAAGATCAGATATGACCTTTGGTACAATATTGTTCAGAGAATTATACTGGGTTTAAGAAAAACATTTGGCAAGTGCAACTATGGCAGCATACAGAATTAGGATTACTTACAAAAAGGATCAAGGAAACATTCTCTTCACGATAAAAATAAAAAATATCTGATTTTAAATTCAAGATTTTATTTCTATTTACCAATTCAAAATCATGATTTCACATTGATAATACAAACATTTCTTACAATACCTGCATAAGTCTCACAAGGATAAAAGCATAGGAAAAAGAACTGGGCTACACTTTACATTCATGGCACAGTAATAAAGAGTGCTCTTTCCTTCATCTACATGGAACAATGATGTACAATTTATTCTAAATTAAAACTGAGACAGAAAAAAAATGGGACTGTATTTTCACATTTCAACCAGTAATGATAAATTCTGTTCCCTTAATACTTCACAGTCACAACGTATCTACTCTAGGTGCATTTGATATATTGATGTACATTAAAGAGTCTTCTGTAATCTATTCTCATCAAATGTTGCCGACTGTTATGTAATGAATTTGAATTCATTCTTGTTAACTACCAGGTCTTACGGCTGGTGATTATAAATTCACCTAGATCTGTTGATGGCTAAAATATCAAGGCTCTGATCATACTTTTGTCCTAGCCAAGTTATTATATTTATTTTAGAACATGTTTGAATGGTAAATATTACATCACATTGCACAACTCTACTTCAACATTTCATTCAGTTAAAATCCTTTACAAATACAATCCCACAGAACAGTAAGCAACATCAAAGGAGATTTTCTTTTATATCTATATATACACGTACACACCCGATAGATACACAGGTGAAAACTCAACAGTTTATTCTTTTTGTAATAAGTATGTACTACACAATCATACTGTCACACAACCTAATAGTAACACTAAAGCTCAGATATCACTGACCACAAAAAGTCAACAAGTAATTAGTAAATATACTATCAACAATGTCACATAAAGTGATGCACTTTCATAGGAGAGATACACATCAATTCTACAAAAAACATCCACAAAGTGTATGGTAAATAATGTTTTGATTATAGTCTAAAATTTTAAGAGAAATATTTGAACTTTTCAATTTGAAGCTGGGACTATGAATGTTAAACTGTCCCTAAAGCAATAGAAAGAAAAAATGAAAAATTTTTCTTGTAAGCAATTTGATTATTCAGCAGGTGGTATCAGCTTGTAAGCAACACAAATTGGCATTTTTTCCTCAATACAGGTAACTGTAATATCACAAAAAAGGATGACAGAAAAAACAAATACACAATGCGGTGGATACATATATAGCACAGCAAAATCATCTTGCTGTGGTGAACATCAGCTGTCTGGTAGAACATGTAAAACACTGTATACATTTTTTACAAAAAATCTCACATATCCTACAATTCTTCATAAGTACGATTTGATACATACGTGTACATCATTCATCATTTTCAGTTGTCTCTTTTGAACTTGAGTTAGGAAACATAGTCCTCACCGCCATATCTTTCCTACCATTTATTTACAAACTTATAATACATTTGTAGCTAATGTTCAGTGCTTGGCTACACATACATTGCAAATAAAAATACTCAAAATTTAATTCCTTTTTTAAAGATGTTGATGTTTTTCTCAAATTATTTTCGTTTTTTCCTTGAAAAACTTTTCAACATTAATTTTTTATCAGAAGACATGAAATCATTGAGAAAATAGTCCTCTCTCAATGCTTTACTAATCAGAAGAGTTTCCAATTTCATATTTTTCTTTTTCTTCAAATTTTAGATGAAATGTGTTGAATCTTTTGCAACAGCAGGATCTGTCACCATCTCAATGTACTTTCTATCATATAATCCAATTTCCAAAAGACAAATTTGAAAGATGGTTGGTGTTGAAGAATAGATTGAATCATAATTTCGTGTAACTGTAAACATAACAGCTGTGTACCAAAACAGCATATGAACTCTGCTGTTCTGGCAGGCATGGCTTTGACTTGTGATGTAGGAAAATGTGTTATGCTACTATTCAGAGGCCTCATATGATGGTAAGTACCAAATGTTTATGATTAAAAGGCATATGTGATATGAAATAAAAAGAGAGGAGCGGTTGGATTAAAACATTTGGATATACATATATATAAAAGATAAAAGTTGGTTTATATAAATAGCAAACATACACTACTGTAACATGTTTTGATCAAAGCCAAGGAACCTATGTACACGGACTTGATTTGTTCTTAAGCAGTAAATCTTTTCAATATCAGAAATATTGTTAATGAACAATGTTATAAACTTTAAAAAAATCATCATGTTCCTTTTATTCACTACCAATATCAATTTCTCAAAAACCCCATTACGTTCAGTTTTATGGAAACATTCAGTAATACAAAATTGTGCTATCTCAGTTTGTGAATGTAAACTTCATCCTGTTTTATAACTAACGGTTTTACACCTGCATAACATGAACTTAATCCAAAATTGCAATTCAACATTGTACACAAAAATATAAGGATGTCTTGAAATGATACAAGACTCATTTTGATCAAGAAAAGATACAACTGTCTATGCTGGATAGAGACCATGGTTCCAGGACTTTGGCAACTTATGTTGAGTTCATTCATAACAACCTTTTCTTTATTGTGCATTCTGTATTATAGCTCCAACAACTAAATAATAGCGTATTGTAAATATAAATGTAAAAAATTACCAAAAAACAAATAAGGTCAAAAGTTGAAATAATATCTGAGAGCAAAGGGGGATAATCTTGGGAGAGGAAGAAAGAGGGTTTAAAATTTGATCTTCATGGCTTCTTAATAGATATTTGTATATATATATATATAGGAAAGACTCTATACTGGATACACATCAACACTGGCATATTCTAGGATACATTTTAAAATAGTAATACTCTTTCTCATGTCAATATCTGGAAATGACATTGAAATGTTCGGTACATCTTGAAGCATATTTTTCTCTCTTGACTAATATAGATTACACAACATATAGGATTTCCACAACACCAAGAAATTAATACAAAAGCTTTGAATATTATTAAAATTTGATTACTCTATAAATACTCCAAGCGAAATTTGGTAAAATTATCATTTAATTAACAAAGTCACATGATAAAGCCAACATCAACATATAAACGATATGGTTATACTAAAACGCAGGTGTAAAAACATATTAAAAGTCTAGCATATAAAAAAGTGTTAAATTAACATTAATCAGATTTGATTTTTTAAAGACCAAGTATCATACATATACATTTGTATACATATATTTTTTGTATTACTGACATTAACGCTACATAAGACATAATATTTATTTGCACATTGCCCATATATATATATATATATATATATACACACATGTAGATCTATATAACATAGCATAAAGCTAGCTGACAATATCATTATTGAATATCAAGTACATATATTTTGTGTACAGATTATTTTTCACTCTAAATAATACATAAAGAAAAATCTTGGTATAATGAAGGGGGTATATCTCTTGTTTTCTTTCTCAATCCATTCATCATAATGATCTTCCTTCACACAATATATTGCAAAATCCTTTTTATACTGCCAAAACCATGTCTGACAAATGGTGGCAGTATAATGAGATTTTACTGTACTCTGGCATAAATTCTCTACAAGATAAAAGTAAATACACAAGTAGTATTGTAGATAAGTATGTACTTCACATTGCACAAATCCATGTGGTCTGTGCAAACACAGAGAGGAAAAAATATTTACATAACTTAATGGCATTCTTCAACAGCCTCAGCAAGCTTCCAATCGATCATGACATTTCTAATAGTGTAACACTTATCATGTAAACTGTATACTAGAACAAGCATCTTGCTGATCATGCAGAAGAGATAAAACAATCTTTGGAAAATTTCACAATACTGATAATTTCTCTTAAAATCTTTACAATCTCTTCAAATCTGGTGAACACAGCATCAAAAAGATTTTCAATAATACATCAATTTTCTTTGATCAAGTTGTATTTAATTTTCAGGAGAATTGATCTGAATTACTTTATCATGACAACATGTTGAATTATCTGAAATTTTGACATGTACCAAAAAAAGCCAATCACTTGAAGCTTTTGCTATGTTTCCACAACAGAAAAAAAAATTAACGATTTACAATATGATCCACAAGACTTGTAAATCAGCATATATATCATGTATCATATTTTCAGGACTGAAATTTTTCTCCAGTTTTGTCTTTTTTGTTTGTCACTCCTTGTAATCTCTCCTTGATCATATAACATAACTTTGTCTACAAGGCCACAATTTATCTAGGAACTTCAATACTACAAAAACATTGGATAATAATCGATAGATAACAATTATGATTTCTGATGATGGTTTCAATGCTGGCGGTGTTGGTGTTTCCATTTTTATGGGACTAGATTTAAAATATAGCTAAGCGTGATTGATGGAGGTAATGACTATTAGTTAATATCGCCAATCCTAGTTCATCCATATTGCTAATACAGCCACATGGTCATACTACAATATTAATCTCAATAATCAAGCCTTTTAAAGTTTACAGAGAAAGCTTGTAATAACAAGAAAATACGGAGTGGTTAAATTAAAGAAATAATTTGAAACATGAATTTCAACATAAAAAATTCTTAAACAAAGTCAAACCTTGATGAAGTTCATTAACATTCCTTTAAAACTAAAGAAGTATTTAGGTTCTTCAGACCATTATTCCAAAGTGCTTTACTATGAAACATTTCATCTGTACTAGCAATCTTGTTAGGATGTTAATCAAGCAAGGTTTCTTAATATTGTATAAGAATTCATGAAACAATTAAAAAAAATCTGCTTGAGCACTTCAAATAAGATTTCAATTGATTCAAGAAGATTTTCTGGTGTCTTCATTTTAGATGATCAGTAGTAAGCCATTATGAGAGTTACAAGTAGCAGAGAGAAAATAAACTTTCCTTTGCAAACCTTTTTGAAAGAATATAACTTTCTGTGCTTAACAACTACGACAATGCTTAAGATGAAAATGCTTTTAAAAGCCGTACAATTATTGTACCATTCTGCTTACAAACAAATTTGTATGCAGTATATATACATACAATATATTTCGCACACTGGATAATTTGCGTACAAATGAATGCCTGTTGTATGTACAGTCTTAATGCATGAGGAAGTTAAGCTGGATATGATTGCTGAGCTGCCATGAAAACGACATCACAAAAGTCACGCTGAAGTGCTCCAGAAATCAAAACAAACACTGAGAAAACGCTGTTGGCAGTGTCACAAAAATCATGGCTGTATATACAAGATGGCTAGGCATGTAAAATATGGAGTGCTTATCTCATCCATACTGTTCTTATGTAGGGCACAGAACTGAAACAGAAAACACAATAAAATAGACATTGATATAAAGATTATAGACAAACAATTTGTACATTTAAATTTCAAGTATAAAGTCCAGTTGATTTTTATTTCATTTATTTTTCTGTCATGAAATGAAAACAAATCATACAAACTATAATATTTACAGGTTATCATAGACTGAATCATTCGAAATATCCTCTGAACAGTATATCCCTGATCTTTCCTTTCACAATGACTATGACCTAGGTTATTATGAATTGTTGTGAATTGGTGTTAAACCCCTTGCATGGTGATTAATCCCTAGAATTGGTGGTTAATCCCTAGAATTGGTGATTTATCCCTAGAATTGGTGATTAATCCCTAGAATTGGTGATTTATCCCTAGAATTGGTGATTAATCCCTAGAATTGGTGATTTATCCCTAGAATTGGTGATTAATCCCTAGAATTGGTGGTTAATCCCTAGAATTGGTGATTTATCCCTAGAATTGGTGATTAATCCCTAGAATTGGTGGTTAATCCCTAGAATTGGTGATTAATCCCTAGAATTGGTGGTTAATCCCTAGAATTGGTGATTAATCCCTAGAATTGGTGGTTAATCCCTAGAATTGGTGATTTATCCCTAGAATTGGTGATTAATCCCTAGAATTGGTGGTTAATCCCTAGAATTGGTGATTTATCCCTAGAATTGGTGATTAATCCCTAGAATTGGTGGTTAATCCCTAGAATTGGTGGTTAATCCCTAGCATTGGTGATTTATCCCTAGAATTGGTGGTTAATTCCTAGAATTGGTGATTTATCCCTAGAATTGGTGATTAATCCCTAGAATTGGTGATTTATCCCTAGAATTGGTGGTTAATTCCTAGAATTGGTGATTAATCCCTAGAATTGGTGATTAATCCCTAGAATTGGTGATTAATCCCTAGAATTGGTGGTTAATCCCTAGAATTGGTGGTTAATCCCTAGAATTGGTGATTAATCCCTAGAATTGGTGGTTAATCCCTAGAATTGGTGATTTATCCCTAGAATTGGTGATTTATCCCTAGAATTGGTGGTTAATCCCTAGAATTGGTGATTAATCCCTAGAATTGGTGATTAATCCCTAGAATTGGTGGTTAATCCCTAGAATTGGTGATTAATCCCTAGAATTGGTGGTTAATCCCTAGAATTGGTGATTTATCCCTAGAATTGGTGGTTAATCCCTAGAATTGGTGATTAATCCCTAGAATTGGTGGTTAATCCTTGAAATTGGTGATTGATTCCTATAATTGGTAATTAATCCCTAAAATTGGAGATTAATCCTTTAGAATTGGCAATGGATATTTAACAGCATAATACAAATTAATTGTTCTCTATATTTAAACTATATATTGATAATTCCGGTAATTTAAATCTTTGATCATACTGACATAACACTGAACTGCTGAAGACAATCTGAAAAAATGATGGATAAGAGATAGTCTGATGATTAGACTACTCATATAGCTTCCAGAGAAGCAAGGCTGATTAATTTTTCTTTTTTTCAATATAATAAATGATTTAACTCCGGTTTAAGTGCTCCATCTACAAAATACGTCCACCATCAGCAGTTTTCATTTGAAGTGCCTTAAGTTTTCAAAACAAATGTAAAATCCGCCCACCTCTAAGCTGCAGTGATGGAAGAAGTCGATTCTGTGATTATCTTTACTAGTCTTGATATATCAGGATGTAGAAAATCAGACAGTGCAAATTCTGTCAAGCAGGGGCCATTTATGAATTTCAAATAACAGCTGATCACTGGAAGAATTAACCCAATAATCTGTGGCTGATCAGCTTTATCCAATCGTTTTACATGATGGCCTAACTTTATCCAATCGTTTTACATGATGGCCTAACTTTATCCAATCGTTTTACATGATGGCCTAACTTTATCCAATCGTTTTACATGATGGCCTAACTTTATCCAATCGTTTTACATGATGGCCTAACTTTATCCAATCGTTTTACATGATGGCCTAACTTTATCCAATCGTTTTACATGATGGCCTAACTTTATCCAATCGTTTTACTTGATGGCCTAACTTTATCCAATCGTTTTACTTGATGGCCTAACAAGTCTATCTATCACCTGTGGAATTGCATATTGATATCAATATGTAATTTACAAGATTTTCACTTAAACTGAACCTGAAGATATGTATGGAGAAATATGAGCAGCTTGCAACACAAGCCTCAGTAGCATACAAACTTCTTTTCTTCCTTATTTGGATCATTACACATTCGATTCCATATAATTATATTCTTATCCTGGATAGAAATCTAGTGAATTGTTTTTGGGACAAATGTTTCATGTTGTGTATAGACATTTGCTACAGTATGTAAGATCACATCCGCAGCATTTAGCATTGGTAAAATCAATACCAACACACAGTAGTTAGTGCCATATGTTTCCTGTGCAGGAGACCACACATGTCAGCCACAGTAAGGGGGAGGAGAGTCACTACTGGCAGATGGTTTCCCCCTCCAATCAATACTACTTATGTTAACACAGCCCATTAACAATGACATATTACTCCTACGCTTCCAAAAGCACCAGTAGCAAATTGTTGTTAAAACATCCACAGCCGTGCCTTATCAAGTATGTTGTTTATAGAAAATAACACCAACCTAATAAACTACCATAATTAAGACTTTAATTAGCACAAATTCTACTGTTCTGTGTACTAGTACACCTAGCTTATACTTTATATGATTATGGCTGACAAACACAAAGTAACAAAGAACTTCAAAGTTCAGTATATCTTTTCCCAAAACTCCATAAACAAAAACTATCTTTCTGAATAGATTTTGCTTACTTTAATACTCAACATCAAATTAATTGTGGTTTATTTCATCTTTTTCCTAAATACACTACAACTGTACACATCAAAGATCTCCCATTCATTTCCATCTACATTAGATTTATGATACTCATATCAAAATCAAATTAAAGAGTGTTTATATGATAAAAAGAAATCTGTCATGCATTAAAACTCTTATTATCCTTTGCAGCATATTATGATCAAAGGTCACATTAATATCTAGAAAAAATAGGGAAATAAAGCGTTTGTAAACAACCAGCATTGAAAGTGGAAAGTACCTGGGTAGGTAAGTGCCATTATTCTTTTCTGACCATTTACCTCAACATGGCACACAAAAATATCTGGAGCCAAATGCTATTGTTTAATCTGTATTTTTCTTATGATTTCAATATCTGATTCAAGGAATCAAGAGTAGAGGTCAATATTAAACTTGATAAAGCTTGGAAAGATATATAACTAATTTTATAGAAGAACCCTATATTGAAGCAGTTTTTTTTTCAAAATTTCAGGTGTAACTATAAACACCATAAAGGACAAGGACAGTTCAGGTGGTTAGAGTGTTGACCAATGTAACCTCAGGTGATAAGCTCAGCTGGTTTGACAGTCTCTACCTTTGTCAGTTTGTGTTTCTCAAGAAGCTGAGAAACTAACTTGTCAATAAACCCAACAATCAAACAAACAAGGTACATATGTAGTTATTCCCTGACAACTACGGGTGTCAATGTGGTAACATCTGTAAGCGGGGAAGAAACCCTCCATGACATCTATGTAGCATGCATTTCTATCACTGATATCACCACACTTCGCAGTGAAAATCATCATGTTTCAAGAACTAATATGTCTTTTTTCACATAAAAAATAATTGTCATTTAGAGGTGGGTAAATCTACACTACCAGTTTCATCCTCAGAAACTCATTGGATAGCTTGTCCCCTACACATGCTATGTAGTAATGGTGAGAATTTTTTTTGAGTAACTAAGGAAACAACATGAAGGTTCATGCAGAGATAGATGACTGTAAAGTACCATAATATGGATCACACGAAAGAGCAATGACAATATCTATCACATCTGAAGTTGTAAAGTGCACATAAGTCAACACAAGGTGAAACAGCCACCCTGGCCAATCCATTCAATAATATGTATGATCCAATCATGATTTGTTTTCCTGAAACACTACAAATAATTATCTATCGATACTTCTTCCTTACATTAACTTCTTAAGTACTTCACTTTTTAGAAGCAGAACAAAACTTGAGCAACCCAGAATGGCATGATGTGCAATAAGTGTGGAATTGATCTGTGATGCAGACTGATGCTGGTAACAACACGAAAGCTTGCCACCTTATCAGGGAGTCAGGTATTGATTTTGTAACAGGTCTGAGTAGCAGCAGGCCCGTACAGGTAGATAGAATTCTGCTGATACCTATATGATCAATATCTACCTTGGCTCTTATACATAATAACCTTGATGGTATCGTCTATCGGAACAAAAAAGCCCCCAAGGAAACTTGGACAAAGTTGGCTACAGAACTGGACATGTATAGATCAGCTAGATTTAGACAAATTTTATCTGGAAGCAACATCTTTTCTTGGATATACAATTATCATTACATATTACAATACTTTTCTTTATTTTAAACAAAAAAAAGGTAGACAAAGCTTTTAGAATTACTCTGACAGGGTTTAAATCATTATATATTCTCTGAAATTTTTAGCAGGGAATACAGGATTGGACACTATTTAAGAGAAATGCAATCAATTTCAAATTTCAAGACCTCTAACTGTTGATAAATTAATGTGAAGGGATGCTGGACCAAAATATTTCTTGTGTAAAGTTTAATGGGGGATTGACAGTATCCGTTCACCAGAACTCACACAGGGATAGACACAATCACTTGTCTTGGATGCTTAAATAACATAAGTCACAACTGTAGCTTAGAAAAGACTTTCTACTGTTACGATTGACCTTTCAGGATTTCAAACAACATTTATAGAATGAGGAACAGTGACATTTGTAAACTATTCAACCACCAACCCATTTATGTAACTTAGAGATTTGATCACAGGTTTTTGGGTTCTGGGATGTCAGTGATCTAGATGGAGAAGATGACAGATTTGTATGATCTGGGATGTCAGTGATCTAGATGGAGAAGGTCACAGATTTGTATGATCTGGGATGTCAGTGATCTAGATGGAGAAGATGACAGATTTGTATGATCTGGGATGTCAGTGATCTAGATGGAGAAGATCACAGATTTGTATGATCTGGGATGTCAGTGATCTAGATGGAGAGGATCACAGGTTTTTGGGTTCTGGGATGTCAGTGATTTAGATGGAGAGGATCACGGATTTTTATGATCTGGGATGTCAGTGATTTAGATGGAGAAGATGACATATTTGTATGATCTGGGATGTCAGTGATTTAGATGGAGAAGATGACAGATTTGTATGATCTGGGATGTCAGTGATCTAGATGGAGAAGATCACAGATTTGTATGATCTGGGATGTCAGTGATCTAGATGGAGAAGGTCACAGATTTGTATGATCTGGGATGTCAGTGATCTAGATGGAGAAGATGACAGATTTGTATGATCTGGGATGTCAGTGATCTAGATGGAGAAGATGACAGATTTGTATGATCTGGGATGTCAGTGATCTAGATGGAGAGGATCACAGGTTTTTGGGTTCTGGGATGTCAGTGATTTAGATGGAGAGGATCACGGATTTGTATGATCTGGGATGTCAGTGATCTAGATGGAGAAGATGACATATTTGTATGATCTGGGATGTCAGTGATCTAGATGGAGAAGATGACAGATTTGTATGATCTGGGATGTCAGTGATTTAGATGGAGAGGATCACAGATTTGTATGATCTGGGATGTAAGTGATCTAGATGGAGAGGATCACAGATTTGTATGATCTGGGATGTCAGTGATCTAGATGGAGAAGATCACAGATTTGTATGATCTGGGATGTCAGTGATCTAGATGGAGAAGATCACAGATTTGTATGATCTGGGATGTCAGTGATCTAGATGGAGAGGATCACAGGTTTTTGGGTTCTAGGATGTCAGTGATTTAGATGGAGAGGATCACGGATTTGTATGATCTGGGATGTCAGTGATCTAGATGGAGAAGATGACAGATTTGTATGATCTGGGATGTCAGTGATCTAGATGGAGAGGATCACAGATTTGTATGATCTGGGATGTCAGTGATCTAGATGGAGAAGATCACAGATTTGTATGATCTGGGATGTCAGTGATCTAGATGGAGAAGATCACAGATTTGTATGATCTGGGATGTCAGTGATCTAGATGGAAAAGATCACAGATTTGTATGATCTGGGATGTCAGTGATCTAGATGAAGGTCACAGATTTGTATGATCTGGGATGTCAGTGATCTAGATGGAGAAGATGACAGATTTGTATGATCTGGGATGTCAGTGATCTAGATGGAGAAGGTCACAGATTTGTATGATCTGGGATGTCAGTGATCTAGATGGAGAAGATGACAGATTTGTATGATCTGGGATGTCAGTGATCTAGATGGAAAGGATCACATATTTGTATGATCTGGGATGTCAGTGATCTAGATGGAGAGATGACAGATTTGTAATGTCAGTGATCTAGATGGAGAGGATCACATCAGTCAGGGTCATATGACAACAGCAGGGTATGGCTTTTTCAGTACTGCAGATAGGAGTTGTTTGGGAACTGATTTTTATGATGGTACAAAAAGGTTCTGAGGGTTGTTGTAGGATTTGAAAAGCGATTTGGATTTATGAAAACAATACCTTTCAAGATATAGTCAGTCAGAAGTGTAGGAACTGTTGGACTATCTTCATTTATGGCCTGTAGAACTGTAAAACAAAGACATAAGTATTACTATTACAAACAGTTGTCATTATGTCAGTCTGATGGTCACTTCAATTTAGGTGATAAATCCACTACAATCAAAGACATTGTTAATTGTTACAGTCTTCCTGACCTAAAATGATCCTTAAAAGCTGATTGGGTGTGTATAACATTTTCCCCTTTACTCTGACCTAACACTTGTTAAAATCTAATAACAGTCAGGTCAGGGCTTTTGTTTCATACAGGAATTGTTAAACAGCTTCAGAAACCTGAATTATTCATTATAGACATTGAAAATTACTGTGCATAATTGTTTTTCCTTTTTGGTTGACATTTTTTTTCTCTCACTAAAATGTAATAAATAATAAAATTTTTAAGATTATAAATTTCCTTTAGTTACTTACTTTTAATGTATATTTGGAGTTGTTCAGATCTTGGTGGGCCTTCAAATGTGTGGTAGGGGATTACTGTTGTAAGGAACTGCAAACAGAAAATTTCACAGTGGTAAATATATATTACCTATAAGGTCATGTGCAGCTTGATTTCAAACATAAATTTGTCTTTCAACAAATTACTTATTACACTGTCTTTTGTCATTTTTCATAGATGACACTGGTCATTCTATGCTTAAATCCTACTCACATTTTCCCAAATTCTTATTTTGTTCACTACTGCATCACTTTTTCTAAAAAATTATGAATTCTTACATATGCTTATCAAATTTGATATTTAGCAATTCCATACATTTATAACCATATTTTTTACACCAATTAGAGACTGATACTCACAGTCTTGGGGCCGTCCGGACTTGTAAGGTTATTGTTGACACTAGACGTGGGAGGAGCTGGCTTGTTTTTCTTCTTCTTTTTGTCAAGATTGCTCTCTCTACGACGTTTCTGTATAGTGAGGAGCAGAGAGATGAATTGGTTCTTTAACTCCTTGTCATACTCGTATTCGTCACGCAGAGCCAGTTCACGGATCAACGTCTCAGACAGCTCTTTGATAATCAGCTCATACTCTGCAAGGACCTCATTCAACTTTGTATTAGACATCCCTTTCAACTCTGAAACCATAAGATGAAACAGACACAGTGAAAATGCCACTTCACACTGGTAATTGGGGTAGGGGATAAGGAAATAGGAAGTTCGCTTTAAAAAATATCAGTCATTGGATATCACACATCAGGAACATCTTCTAATGCATGTAAATGAAACAGAAAAACCCTGATTTTCTAGACTTCAGACAGCTGAATTGTGATAAGACTTACCCGCTTCAGAGTAGGAGGGGAGGGAATCTTTGATTGTAGTGTATGGTACTGTCTCTATAGGGTAGAGCTCTGCAGGATTCTCCTGTTGTGGTTCCTACAAATACATATTTATGAAAGTGCAATGGACCAATATTGAATTGAAGGGCAGCAGAATTAATGCTGATAAATGGACACAGAAAAGTTCACTTGAGTGATAAAGTTTCAGTGAAATCATTGCACTTGATGAGGTTTCCAGCTCAGCTGCTTGAATAGGCTGACATGCCATATTGATTAGGCACTAAATAGAGAAGCTGGCCACATACTTTGTGTTCTAAAAGTCAGTGTATTGTCAGTTAGGGCTAGAACACAATCGTTTTACTGCAAACTTCTATTTTCGTGACCAGCCGTTGTTCTGTAAACAGCTTCATCTTTCACTCCAGAAGTTTTGCAATATGTTACCTCATTTTCCTGAAATCCTCTTCTTCCACTCAACTCTACTAGATGGCTATTTTAAGATTTGTCTATAGATTACCAAAATACAGACTTAAGCAACGATGAAAATCTTTGTAATACATAAATGTGCCCCTTCTCATATGATGATAATAATAATGCTAAGCTTTAACTATACATTTATTAGTAGTGCAGAAATACAGACCATAGTGACCTTTGTGTCATTTGATGGTCCAATGTCCTGAATATGTGCCAGTTTAAGTGTATGTATATAATATTTTGAAACATTTTAGGACAATATTGATGTACTTAATACAAAATGTTACATAGATATTTGCACTGAGAGAAAGAGTAACCGGAAGAAAAAACTTTTATTCATGTCCCTGATGTTTCAGGGGCATATGAACAAATAACACAAATGTTACAGGACAGACAGAAGATGTACATCTACTACAAATAAAATAAATTAACATATATCTATTACCAATCTAATACATTTACAGTTTATACAACTCCAAAACAATTCATTATCACTCAAATAACAACATTCGCATCAGCTTTTCATTAGGAATATCTTTTTTTACATCATTGGAAAAAAAAAATGATTAAAATTAAGCTTTACAAGATTATGTAACTTTGAAACCTCCACCCACACACTAAAGGCAAAACAATGCTGATTACTTCAACATTGCAACAAACAAAACAATATATAAAATGTTTTCATGGTAGTTGTCAACATTCTGAAGTGCTACACGTTAAAATTGTGTGATAAATGATAACTAATACAGAAACCAGCTCTATACTTTACCTGCATCATGCACTCAATTTCACTGATGACTTCCTCTGCTGTTTCTACATGGTCTGAATCATTCTGGGTTAGACTGCTCACAATAAGGTTATGCATGTCAAAGGCCTGAGCCAGCTCCTCATCATCAGACAAGTCTAGATTAGGGGTCACACATTCCTGTAAGGAGACATAGGTAGCATCTTCATAAATAGAAAGTTTATACCTATCTCCTAAACTGAATCTATCAGTATTTATCTAAACATATAATTCATTTCCTGAATTTGTTCCTTCACGCTTCTTATCAGAAACAAAAGTACACATACAAAAAAATATCATTACATACACCTTAAATTCTATGTGTTCCCAAACATTCGTCTTGTCTATTAATAATCCAATCTTGCCATTTTCAACTACAAGTTCACCAGTATTATAACTTTACTTTGTTCAAATATAATACCTTACAATACCTTGGCCAGGTATTATGATCATGTAAGTAATGAACAAATGATATATCCTTGATGCTTCCTAGACTTAATGTCTTCTGTGACCCCCTCATGATGATCTTGACCTGTACTATGACCTCTCCATAAGATCTAACCGGTTTGCACTGTGGCCCCTCGGTAAGATCCAAGTTGTTTGTGCTATGACCTTTTCATAAAGTCTTGACCGGTTTGTACTTTGACCTCTCCATAAGATCTAACCTTTTTGTACTGTGACTTCTCAGTAAGATCTGACCTGTTTTTAGTAAGACATTCTTACTCTCTCTGAAACATCTTACCTGTTTGCACTGTTACTTACATCCTGGAATAGTGACCAGAATGTGTTGTGACTTGCTTGGTAATTCACCAATCTATTGTGACCTACCTTACGTTCCCCTAGATTCAGAACTTTTGCATGCAGCTCCCTTGCATAGGATTTTGACCAGTCTATTGGAAGGATGTTACCGAAGTTCCCAGTGATTGTCCACCACATTCTAAAACACAAACATCACTGGTCAGTAATCATATATAATGTCATCAACAAAACACGTCAAAATACAATGTAATAACTTTCAGAATTTGAGAAGATACGATGCAGACAATAACAATTCTAAGATTGACCTCATCATGATTGACCAAGGTTGACATGGCAGGTATTGTCAGTGAAGCAGACATACTCTTCCACAACACTAGTCTTATTCTCCTCGTACTTTTTCAGGAGTCTCCATGTAAATTTTCCTGGTGTATTTTGCCCTAGTTTTATGGAAATAGAGTTTAAATGACATGGTTGGTATTTTCTGTGTTGTTTTATTTATCCACATGGTTTGTTGTTTTTAAACTAGGGAAAACATTAAGGCTCATCAACTTCTATCAGATGACTATCTTAACCAGTCCTTTCTACTGAAATATTCACATATATAACAGTAAGTAAATACCAGAGCATCGTAATTAGTATGATGACAATATGTAACATTGTATTATCACTAATCGAACCCGTGTTCATGTAACTGAGATACTTCCTGTTATGAAAGTAATCTATACTCTGTATTTGTTGATTAATTGGATTTATTATCTTGTAAACATCCAGGGTAATGTTTTGCGGGGTGTCTCGCAGCTATACCATGACGAAAGTCACGTGGAAGGCTTTACACATGCTATCCAGATCATTGGGGTAAAGTCACAAAGAGTCTTCAAAAATTAAGTGCAATTTTCATCATAAACAATGAAAAAAGAAAATCACTTTTAAATGCTGACAAAATACACATTTATTGGATTTATATTTGTCATACATTTTTATGCAAAGTACATATATACTTTTCCTAATCATGGACATGGAAGTTGTCCCAGTAGTCATTGTATTACTGTATGTGTATATTTTTATAGAAAGGTACATATAAATATCTATATATTGTATTTCTCTATGTAATGGGCACCTCTATTGTATGTAACATGTCTGAACAGAACTGTTGCTCTGGGAGGCCTAGCCACAAAATTCCCTAGCAGTAGCAGCAGCAACAATGAAAAGTGTCCCGTTAGTTGGTACGGAAGCTGGCACCTAGCCATTGTTAAGATGGTCGTGTTTGTATTGATTATTCACTCAGCAGAGGGCCAATCACACTACCGCCTCTAAATGAGTCACTGATTCTCGCTATCTCTGTATCCATTATTCACACACAGAACTCTGTACACAAGCAATATTATATATTTACACTCATTATTATTTATAATTATTATCAGTAATAACCTGTAGATATTCGAGATAATTACACCAGCTGATAAAAATCTTGATAATTACAGGTCTAATGGCATTTTCCAAATTTGTAAATTATAAAACAATTTCTAAATTATAAATGACAAAATATATCTAAAATAAATGATTACAATGACAAATCACAGCTGATGAGTGAAATTTTCCAGATGGGAATGGGTGGGGGTGAGAATTGTACCTAGAGACTTTAGACTAAAATCTTCACAATGAAATAATTTTGTACCATGCTGTAAAGACAAGGTCCAGCCCAGTCATTCCATTCTAAACTTGTCACCAATCATTTTTTGGACTTTAAACTAGATAATTTCTGTAAGATCTGAATATCTGGAAGCAATACCAGTCAGCTTTCATGTCTGATGAGGACAAGGTCCAATCTAGTCATTCTGTCTGAAACTTGTTGAATGACCCATCTTTTTTTGGACTTGAAACTAGACAATGTGTGTAAGATCTGAATATCCAGAGACAGTACCAGTCTGCTTTCATGTCTGATGAGGACTAGGTCCAATCTAGTCATTCTGTCTGAAACTTGTTGAATCATCCATCTTTTTTCTACTTTAAACTAGAAAATGTCTGTAAGACCTGAATATCCAGAAGCAATACCAGTCATTTTTCATGTCTTGTCTTTGACCTTGAAACTCTAAAGCATCAAATACTACATAGCAACTCAAACTTATAAGCAATTTTATTCAAGTACTTGACTTTGGTTTTAGGTATCATCTGTTTAGAAAAGATTTCGGGATGACACAATGAATCTCGGGAGAAAGACTCCAGTAAGCAAAACACCAGGCTTTTTTCTCAAACTCTCTTTTCACTCACACTAAAATATCTAAAGGTCATGAGAGAGGGGTTACCCCTGTGTCCCACTTCTATCCATGTAGGATACATGTAAAACACCCATGTGGGATAACTCTATCCAACAAGAGTGCCCCAAGTGACCTTTGCAATTTTGACGCCATCTCATGAACAAAATAAATCATTGCAAAAGCTCTTGATGAAGAGACAACATTTTCTTAAATAGTTTTTTTTCTAATATTTTAATTCTTTAATCTTTAAATCTTTAATTTTATATGTATGTCACATTGAAAATGTGTTTTACATTCAGCATTGCAGTTTACCAAATCTTCATGTAAAAGAAAAATCAACCACTTGTAAATATATGGGATAATAGATTCTACCCTCAGGTATAGACTCTGGATCAGAATGAGGCTTACCCTCGGGTAGACTATCCATATCCCGCATACCTATATATAGTTGACAGTTGCAACCGTAGGGCATGACAAAGAAACGTCATTAGTAAAAGCAAAGATACACCTGTCTTGGTCAGAAATGAAAAGCGTTGAAGTGCCATACCAATTAATAAGAATTGAAAGTACTTCTCTCCAAATCTGGGTAAAATATACAAATATTGCTTGTTAAACGGTAATGTTTACAACTTTAACAATGCACACTTTCGATAATTGCAACCTGCTGGAGGTTTGATGTGCCCTTTAACAGGAATCCATTCTGCTTCATCTCAAATTGGGTACTATTTTTGAAGCAGCCATGTATCCCTAACCAGTAACAGAAAGGAATGATAAATTATGTAATCAATATTGCATTTAACAAGTCTTCAGCAGGCAACAATATGAACTATGGAAGCCAATGAAATTCCAATCTGTTTGCTTGGTTTATTGCCTTGTGAACAGCCAGCATCATTTTGAGCCAGGGTATCCATTATAATATCTGGTGACTACCTCAATAAACAGAATATGGGAGGCCCATCCTATACAATCAAAGGCAATTAGGTTCAAAGTGTATTGCCCAAGGATGCAACCACATCACCACAGACCAATCCCTTTCTAAGCTTTTCTTAGAACAAAAATCACAGGTAGGGAACATCAAACCACAAACCTTGCATATTCGCCTGAGGTCACATAGGTCAACGTTCTATAATCTGAGTTATCATGGCCCATATCAACTGACAAAATCTTTTTAAACTCAATAAACATGTGATCTTTGCCTTTCACCTGCTATTTCTTTCTGCCTTGATAAGAACTAGAATATGTCTGTAGGATTTAAAAACCCTTGCTCCTCAAAGTATCAATTTTTGTCAAAATTCAGAAACAGAGTAACAGTGATGTTGAAACACAAACTCTTTTTAGGTACTCTAACGATATATTGATTGATCTTTGTGGTTAAGGTTTTATCATATCCTTCTGAAAGAAATGAATTTACTTGAGTGATATCACTGAATTGGTTGACGATTTTGTGTAAATAGTTATTGTGTCTTTGACCAAGGATAACAAAACTCATCTGTAATATTGTCATGATTGACCTTCATGTAAAGTTTGATAAAAATGTTATTAAGTGAAGATCAGTAAACAAGAAACAATTTTTGAAAACTGCTGTGTGGTACAATAAGGATATCACAGTAAATAATAACACTATGTAAAATTTTATAAAAATGTTATTAACTGAAGATCAGTAAACAAGAAACAATTTTTGAAAACTGCTGTGTGGTACAATAAGGATATCACAGTAAATAATAACACTATGTAAAATTTTATAAAAATGTTATTAACTGAAGATCAGTAAACAAGAAACAATTTTTGAAAACTGCTGTGTGGTACAATAAGGATATCACAGTAAATAATAACACTATGTAAAATTTTATAAAAATGTTATTAACTGAAGATCAGTAAACAAGAAACAATTTTTGAAAACTGCTGTGTGGTACAATAAGGATATCAAAGTAAATAATAAAACTGTTTTTATTCTACTTGGTTTGAAGGTGGTGTGATTACAATGAGTGACTTAATTAAAAATTCCATTGATTTGACTTTTCACTCCTTTGAAGTATTTATACACATCTTTCATGTGAACAACATTTTACAGTATCATAGAATTTTAAATGCACATTTTCTAGGAAATGGTACCTTATATTTAGAAAACCCTCAATGCCAGCTATTCCACAGAATTCGGAAACATTTTTCAAGAGGTTAAGAGAACCAAAAGATTTTGATAATCGTATTATTATTCCACCATCGTTGTGAACTGGGATCAAAAAGCTAGGATTTTGACTTTAATGCAGAAATATGGATTTAGATATTTAGAGTTCCTTTTTAAGTCACTAACAGTAAAAAAAAACTATAGTGGTTCCAATTTAGAGTTATACATCATATTTAAGTTACAAATACTTTCCTTCATAAAATAAACTTAACTGCTAACCCTTCATGTACTTTATGTAACATGGAACATGAGCCAACAGTTCATTGTTTATGGGAGTGTCAAGAAGTACAAAATTTACTTCAGAGATTTGAAACTCTTCTCAACCTATTAGTAATTTCGTTTGCATATAACAAGGATTCATTTCTTTTTCAAAAAGTAACACATAATTGTAATCATGAGGATCATGAAATTTTAATCATCAAATATTATATCTACAAAATTTCTAAACTTCAATGCACTCATCAATGTTATATAAAAAAAATATAATTTGCAGGTTCAAAAATTTTTGAATAACAGTAAAAGTGAGCTTATCAAAATTTATTTTGAAAAAGATTAGAGAAAATGGAAACCTCTTTTGGATTTATAATAATATATCCAAAAAGATTTTCATTTGTTTGAATTTTTATTTTTTTTATATAAAAAAAACCATGCATGCACAATTGCACATCTAGTCCCCAACATCCCTGTGTCATTTCACTGAAATCAGTCCACAACATTAGGAGAAATCTGGAAAAAGGT